GAAAGGACAGAATGTAATGTGGCTTGGCTTCGAGGTAATTCCTTAGGCTTCGTTTATCAATCACCCTGATAACCATTATTAAATAAATCCCAACGGTGTATAAATTTAGAAGGTAGCACGAAGCACCAACTACTATCGGATTGCGCAGATAACAAAGTTACAAGCACGCCAAGCGAATTTGAGCACAAAGCTAATGCGCGCCAGCAAGCGAGTACAGAGGCATATTCTGAGTCGAATCTGATCGTATCAATTAATGTGATTCAAGTATGCATATATATATATGGGAAAGCGAATGATTCATCGAGCGATATTTAAGCGACTAACATTTAAGCTCGAGAGAGATATGTACGTAGGCTTTCTCAGGGGATCAAGTATACACGTTTATACAGACATGATAGTAATCATAATAGTACAAAGAAATATACAAATCGTTACCGTTCGAACAACTGTTTGTGTTAAGTGAGTTAATAAAAGGGCTTGACACAATCAGCCGTAAACAAACTTAATTGTAGGAGAGGTGCTATAACAGTAATCGCCTAAAGCTAAAATCTCCGTATATAGTCTGTCTTTGAAAAGACAGTGAGGCATGTAATCTAGATAAAGCACTAAATGTTTAGAATTAAATTCTAAGAATTAATCTTACTAATTATTTTTTAACTCAATATCTAAAAGTGTGAGCAATTACTGTTAGTCGTCCTCCGTTAGTTTGTGATTGGTCAGTCACTGATCTGAGTTGCAACTTCCTAAATATTACTATGGTTAGACCAGTGTTTGTTAAAGAACGTGAGTAAATACACTTAGATCACTTCGTAAAGATTATTTTGTTTTTATTTGTCTTAGTAATATGCCCCGTGTCAAACAACCTTTCGATGAAGCTTTTGTCTTTGTCGTTGGTGGCGGAAGTTATGTTGAGTACCAAAATCTGTTAGATTGGGTCAAATCAACTTGTTCCACTACATCTGGCACATCTAGCACTTCGTCAACATCATTAACAAATTCTGTTAATGGGATAAACAGTCGCCCTGGCCCAGGAGGTCATGACTCATCCAGCGTTCCTAATATTGGTACAGCTTATTCCAAACATATTACTTATGGCTGTAGTGACCTTGTTAGTCCGAGTGAATTTTTATTAGAAGTGAGTTCCTTTTGAGTGCAATTTTCGTAATCTTATCGATTGTTTCTTGATTTTTGCTTAAGTCCGTTCGTCTATGGACTCAGGTTAATTAATTAAAAAAATTACTAATTATCTGCATCTATGGAGTTTTCTTACGTTGTTCAAAGGTCAACTAACATACAGTAGTTTCCTTGATATATTAATGAAGTTTACCCATATACAGTATGTAAGCAATATATATCTACCGTAGTCTCGCAGTAGTTTACTTCTTTAGTTTCAGAATTATTATGATTCTTTAAGGAATGCACTGTTTTAATTTCTGATTACACTGGTCCTCTCTTCTAGTTTCCGAAATAGCAGTGTTGAAAAACACTCGAAAATCTAACTACATGATAATCAGTTCATGTTACCTAATATTATATTGTAAACAGGAAACATTGTTTGCAAGATTCATCCTATTTATTTAGAAATCCTTTCAATAATTAAAGTTTAAGATTGTAATGCAAACGTATCAAAGTTTTATATTTATAGCCTGTTCCTCTTTGAAAGCACCTGGACCAAATGTACATTGCATTGTAGTGTATTCTGGTAAACAATTTGTCAGATTGAATTTGTCAACTTGTGATGTGTTTTTGATGGAGCTTTGTTCTCTGAGCTGGATGGTTTGATCATGGAACTTTCACCATTCATCTAGCTCAGAGAACAATACCCCATCAAAATCATCCACCTGAGCTACAAATCTTCACCACTTGTGATGTGTCCTAACAAATAAGCTACTTCTCGTCTTTATCTTGGTTTTTTAGTTGGGAAAACTTGGGAAGGAGTTGTAACTTTAGAGTTGTCAATAATTCTGTTCGTACAACTAAAAAATTTCCAGTTACCTCTTGGATACAGTGGTTGCTTTGGATTTTATATGCTCTGTAAATTTCTTCTTCTGTGATGATATTTCTTCTAGTGTTTGACCTTTCAGTTATCTCAAACGTTCATTTACACTAAATTTGATTTTTTAAATTATTGTACTTCTTGTTATATGTCTCTATCTCTCATTGAATTTTTTTCTGATATACCTTTGTTGAAATTTTTCGAATGTATTCTAATTTGTATCCACATTTTAGATTATTCACTACGTAATTATATTGTTCATTGAAATTTGAAATCTTTGAAAATATAAATGTTCTGTGATTGAAAATAATTTTGACTACTGCTTCAACAATGTACTAATTTTTGTACGTATTGAATAATGTTTTGTAAGCCGTGTATATACGGGTTACTGGGATTTCTGACTGCTCTAACTTTATTTTGTTATGAAAATGTTATCAGTCAATGAAGTTCGATGTTCCAATGTCCTTTGCGAAAATTTTCACGTGAACGGATTCGCACCCATATATTGCCTATAGTGTGTAGGATTATAGTTTTTACAAGTGCGTAGGAAATAAACACGTTTAACATGCCACCATTTAATTTAGTTTTTAATAAAATTATTCTGTGGTATAAGTTTCATCTAGCAAACCATCATTTTGCTTTAGGTTAAGCCATACTATGTAATGAATACCTGTTTTGAACGTGTGGAAACTAAAGGGATTAAAGTTGGGAGATACATTAGTGACAATATCCAGGTGATCGTTAATTTCTTTTCCTCCATAGTGGTGGCCACCAATCTTGAAGCGCTTCGTGTAGACTGACTCCATCTACCAACAGCTGTTCACGTGCATCCGAACAGGATACGTGACAGGATTTAAGTATTAGAAATAACTGGGAGTGACAATTACACTGGGGCCGTCAACGACGAGAGGATAAAAGCTGCCGAGCGGGAGTTTACCTGTCCTTTCACATAAGTTCAATTTGAACGAGTTTAAATTCGGGAAAATCATTTGTTACTCGAACTCTATAAGTTGCGTGCACTAATATATGTTGATATTACCCATCTAATAAGAGCAACAGCGTTTTAAATCACAGACAGTAATCTAAAAATATCCGGCGTGTATTTGTTTCACAATAACAAAAAATTGAGATGAGCGGCCGGGCCGTGTGCTCCTGACTGGCAGCACGTGATATGGGCTTTCGAGAGTTTGGCGTTCTCGATTAATCTGTGCAGTGCACCATGAGGTCAACTCACAAGAATAGCAAGGTTGCTGCAAAAGCGAGGTGCGACAGTCATTCGTTGGGGTTTTTTTACCCATTCTGTTCGTTTTGAATACATGTAAAGTACAGTCATCAGTTGTCGCGCTGTTCAATGCTAGGACCTAAATGGTGCTACTCTAGAGAATTTAAACGAATAAGTGGTTACAACGTATATAAGTCTTTCCAATAATCAAGGGACCAATGCATAAGAGCGACAAGAGGAAAAAGGCGATAGTATCAAATCAACATAGTCGAGAAGTCTGTCCTTTATCTGAAGACCATTCCACCGTACAACCTCTCTTCGGCAAGCTCAACCTGGAGTTTCCCAGTTTATAGATCCAAACGGCCCGACGAACAATAATGATGACACAGAACTTCTGGGGAGACAGTATTTTCAAAGATCTCACGTGATACTCAACAACAGCCCCACAAGTAAACCTAAGCGCTGGAACAATGTATCAGGAACTTAAGCATTCGAAAAAGAACACTTCTTTTGGCCTGGTTATTAAGCAACCTGCTGTACTGAAAGGAGCTACTCTGATTATAGTAACATCGCATATTTTAATGACCTCTCATTAGCTAGGTGAAGGCATTATCCAAGACAACTTGAGTCTGGCGTATATGTGGTACTTGTATTAATTAATAATTGTCCGAAACTGGGTGTTTGCTTGATTTTAAATTTTAAATACAATATATTCGTTTGTGCTCACTTAATCTTACTAGGTCTAAATTGCACTATTTCGTGTAATGATTTAAATACTTTCAAATATCACAGTATACCTAGGCATTTTTTAAAGGAGGACGATTTAATGGAACTTCGTGTTATCAACTAGTAAGACTTAATAGCCCCAAAAATTATGGAGCGCTTCATATTCGACGGTATACGTGACTATCTGTACAAATACCTCGTATTTTTCGCAGTTTATAGAGATGACATTCCTCAGCAAGTATCGTCCGGTTTATTACTTACCACATAGAAGACTTAGGCTAATCCCTTTCAGAGATGTCTCGAGTTGGAAAAGGTCCAAGGGCGTATTCTCTATTATCTTAAGTCTTACACTGACTGTGACAATGATGCTTTTTTTAGTAGATTTTGTACTGTTAACTTTAAAGCGCATTTTCGGCCAATCTGATAATAGAACTCTCCAGTCATTCATCAACTGTTTTAAAATACCTCATTGAGATTTTAGAGATGTAGTATTTCCCTCCTCACTTCAAAAGGATAAGAGTAAGTTAGAACGTATCCTACGATGAGCCAAAAAATCAGTTCGAGGACTTAAATTGAAAGCTCGCAAACAGCGCTTCAAACCACTGAATCGTTACTCATCAAAGCAAAGGCACTTCAAAGGATGAACTTCAAATGAATTTATGAATCGCCTTGAACCCCTACAAGGGTAAAGTCCCAATATAAATCTTAGAGTGAACACCCAGATATTAGATAGGCAACATAACAGAATAGCTGTCATGACATGTTTTACTGTTTACGAGTAGCGAAAATTTGTAGTACGCTTCGAGATGGTGCAGTTCAAGCGACTTACAGGTGTCCTTCAATGTGAAACGAGACGTATTCTTTAAGATTCAGGACAGTTTCTCGCTATAATTTACAAACATTCCCCTTTTTATCGTTAAATAAAGCTAGGTTCCTGCTCAAAGGCATTGATTATTTGTTGTTAATAGACACAGAAGTCTGTTAAGCGAAAGCTTCTACTCTTTCAACACCGACCATTTGATTCGTATTGGAACCGTGAGTAGCGAACGAATGAGCCTAATTCAAACTTTTGGATGGCCTTGAAACCCTAGTGGCTGCGGACGTATACAGCAGTTATTCATAAAGGCTTCTCACGTTTGCTTTAAGGGTTAATGTTTTTGCACTGAGTTTCGCATAATCCACACGATAAAAGAATGATTTTGTTTCAAATATTCCTGCTTATCCATGTGATATCGTTATCATGTCACATCGTAACGTAATAAGATCTTATTTCTTTTTAGCGATAATATAGTCTAAATACAGGCTGATCATATTTAAGATAACCGGTTTGTGACTCAGGGGCTTAGTTCATTTATTCATGTGCCTATTGTACATTTATTATTGTTATTTATAAATACCTAATAAAGTATAGCTTATATCGTTTCGTAATGTATCCCAATCTCCCTATTTTGAGAGATTCTGGGGTTCCCCCCAAAGACCAATCGTCTCTCTCTGGAAAGGGGTGAACATTCGGGGTTTTGTGCCATTTACCCGAAATTTTCTACAGCGGCTTCCCCGAAATTGAGAGATTCGGATATCGGGCAAGACGAAAATTTATGGACAAATCAGTAAGGTATAAGATAACAGGTCTTGGATTTCAGAGCGAAATTCACTCATTCATTTGGCCAAATAGAGTTTTGGTATTATAGCTAATGTCAGTTCGTCATGAAAACCCTAAGTCTAATTCCTAACATTAATCATCGACTGTAAATCATAATTCGAATTCCTTTCACTAATTTATAACCGTTATTTGGTCCTGGTTATTAGGTGGACATTCTCAAGGTCATTTTAGCGTCGTTCAAAGTCGTCCGTAAGTTATAGTTTCACCGAATATCCTAGTTCTTGTTCCTAACTCTAACCTCAGCTGTAGTTTCTTATATTCGCTTCTAACAATAATTCCTAGCCATCAAATAACCCCTAAAAGTACTTAAACACTACCAAGCTCACGTAATCGCCGTACAAAGGTTGCCTATAAATTGTAGTCTCGTCACTTCCCTTTAATATCACTGATTAATGGTGTACGATTGTATGCCTCAATCCTTACGTGTATTTCGTATATACATTTTTATTTACAACTACTTTGGTATATTTTGTGTATATCTTGAGCACTAAATTATTAACTAGCATGTTTTATTTGTATCTCGCATCGCGAGGATTAATACGTGTCTCTCGTCCTTTATTCTTCTCACTGAAAACATGGTGCCGGTTGTTAGGAAATTATTGTTTCCAATCTGGCTTTTGGGTTTTACGTTGGGAGAATATAATCACTCAGACATTTAGTAGATAAGATATTGTTGCGTTTTCTTACTTGAAATATACTTCTGGGTATAATGAACTCTTATTTTCATGGAATTTGTTCAGTGTTACGTAATATGTCTTCACATTGATGTCCTAAAATTCCTTTACCAACCAACTGCTTAGCTTATCGTGCCCTAAATTCCATTTTGATATTGTTATCGTCAAACTCCTACTCACTGTCTCTAATCGGTAACGTGAATCCTGTTAAAGAAGTGATAGTTTCGCAGCCAGAATCCGAGTAGACGAAACATAGAATTGAAAATTGTTAGTTCAAAGTGGCTCAGTTGCATTCGGGTTTTATTTTTCTCTGAATGATAAGTACCTTATTGTCCCGCCCGCTTTCATTTCCCTTTTTTAACCCTAAGTCTTTTTTTCTCCTACCTGATTAATTTTATTTTTATCATTTATTAGATTCACTATTTCCCCTGATTTTGATCCATTATCTTGGCATAAATCATAAAATGTCACCATTACGTTAGATTTATCGGTATATTATTCTCTTACTTCGTGTATTGTCCCGAACAATTAAAACAGATCAGTAAGGTATTTTGCTTGCGTTGTATATTGACCCATACAAACATATAGTAGTATTTGCATGTTTCGTTCAACAGTGATTCGAGAACAACGTTCTCCGATTATTTGTCTTAGAAATAAAACTCTTGTAATATCCAAACTGGACATGGAAGCAAATCCCTAATATCCCTTCAGAATTCTTTTAGAAAAGTGGTCCATACCAAGTCTATTACTTGAGCTACTACAAATTTATCATTTATATTATAAGAAGTCTACACAATACTCAATTTGATTCAAGATTATGAAGTCAAGCCTTGGTGATGGTATTCACTGATGTTTTTTTTCATTTTTTTACTGAGTGTGCAAATATATTCCAACTATTTCTGCTTCCCTTAAATATGTATATGTATTTTATCGCTTTCAGTTATCATCATCATCGCAGCCTGTTGTACAGTGATACTGAAGTTCGCACATAGAAATGAGTGTTCACTCATATTCATCTTTGTTTGAATATCTCAAAAATGTTGGTGTTCATATGCTTGACGAACTGTACACTCATCCTCCAACATGTCTTGTCGTTTTTAGAGAATTACCTGAACTTGCGAAACATTTTGTCATGCGACTTTTATTTATTGAACAACCAATACCAAAATCTATTGTCTCTGGGTGGGTTGAAAAGGGTTCTAGTGCACTTCTAAATGACTCATGTAAAGCTTTGACCGATTTGAGGATATGGCATTCTACAGACAGTAATGTTTCTCGAGGCTCTTGGTCGTTAAATAAAAAGTATCAAGAGTCGATTCGGATATCACTGTTCGGAGGGTAGTCTTTGTTCATTTTCTAAATCTTTATGATTAAATTACAGTGGAAAACCCTTACTTGGAGATTTAGGCATTGTGACAAACGATAAGTATTCAAAAACTGTTGACTTTTTAAAATCGTATGCAGCTGAACGTTGGGATGTGAGTTTATGTGTGAACTAATTTCCTTTCTCGCAGGCCATACTTCACTTTATGGTAGGTTCTGAAGCAGCGGAAGTTGGAAGTGTTGTGAAGGATGTCCTTTTATTGTCCAATTTAATGAAATGGTATGTTCAAATTTCTATCAGTGGATATATGTTCATATATACTAACTGTCAGTGAAGGTAATGATTGTCCAATTGGTATCACAAAGCATGGGTTCCATTTCTTGCTTATGAGTCGACAGTTTCAAGTGCTAGTTTTCATCCTGCACTACTTTGACTACTTAAAGGTAATTCAGCTATTAACTGTGCCCTATTATTTTTTATTTTAACAGGAAAATAGTAAAAATCTAGTTGGAGCCCTACAGTTCGTTTTCCAACTTAGTTTTTTGTGTCCGACAAAGGTGAGCTTAATTGCATTTGTTTTATAAGATTAATATGCACTGGACCCAATGACTGTACACACTTTCCTGTCTTAGGTTGTAGGTCACACATATTTTGTTATGGGTAATTGTTATATTCATGCACTAGGTTTATGTTCCACAACTCCAGCTTCAACACAGTGAATAAAACTACTACTATCCTCTTCTTCCTTACCCTTCTAACTAGAGTAGGCCCATTTTTTGTAATGGAAGCTTTGTTGGTGATGACCCACCCCCATTATAACTAAAATACATGTAAGTTAATCGGTTATATATAGATTACAATGATTATAGTTTACTAGCTGAGTAATTGTCACCAAAAATATATAGTGAAAATTCATTGAAAGTTCTTAAAGTAATGTAACGAAAATGTGCTGGGAGTTGACCTTACATTCATTTTAAATCTATATTGACTTTCTTCCTTACAAGTTGTATTTGGGTATTCCAAAACCCTAAGACTAAGTGAATTACATTTTATTTGGAATGGTTAACATTAAATCCCTATGTAACCTAAAGCAGGATAAGCGAACTTAAAATCCATAAACTACTGTTGAACCTTCACACCATAGGAATATTTGCTCCTCTGTTTAGCGTTTTTCCAGTAGGATTATTTTCCATGGGATAAGGTTGGTAACCTCATGTCCAACCCTCTCCATTTATCTGGGTTTGGGACCGGAATCAAACGTTCGGTCTCCAGGAGGATTCACCATCAAATCATAGTCTCAACACTTAACCAATTATAAATTTTAAGCAATTATAAGTGACAAATTATACATATTCTCCCTTAAGTTGAAATTTCTGCAGCAGTTCATTAGTTTCTTAGCGAGAAAGCAGTATATATCTTCTAAGAAATATTTTCTCTCATTGGCACTAATGTCATTAAGCAGACAATTGATAATAGTATACACCGAGCAAAATAAATGACGGGTAATTATATTGGTATCAATACTAATGTAAAAGTCGAGCTTTTGATGGGAATCATAAGGTATGAATCCAAACATAGAAGTCAAAAGTAAAGCCAAACGCGTATTTTAAACTTGCCTACAGTGAGAAGAAATTTTATTACGTGGCATAAATTTGAGCTAGTTGACCACTTGATTAATCGTAAAAGTCTCATTATCCATAAAAATTTGATGGCTAATAAAATCTAGGCATGAGTTTAGAAAGCTACTTTAGCCCCTATAAGCGTATGCCTCTCACTCATTAGACGAGATATCCGTCTGCAAACAAAGGGGGGAGAGTATACTGCGCAGTTGTTCTTTCTGTATTATATTATGTAGCTAGCAGATAACCTATGAAACCAGATATTCACAAACTGTAATTATTAGGTCATCGATGTCTTAGAGTATTTCTTGCTGTATCGTTGGGTGACTTAGTGAAAAATTTGGAGGTTAGGAATATATCTCTTGCCAGGATGTCCACCTAGAATAAGCAGACGACATAGTCCTGTTTGGTGAAGACGCTGATAAAATGCAGAGTCTTTTGGTAGCACTGAGAAACAATGCCAGAATGTTTTGAATGCGCTTCTCTCCCTCTAAATGCAAGCTGCTGCTTCAGGACTGGTCTGCGTCAACACCTGAACTAAGGATATGGAGTGAGGTAGTCGAACGCGTTGACAACTTTACTTATCTTGGAAGTCTGATCAGCCCTAATGGGTTGGTGTCTGACGAAATCTCAGCACGAATTCGAAAAGCTCGCTTGGCTTTTGCCAACTTACGTCACCTATGGCGAAGGTGAGATATCCGTCTATCAATTAAGGGACAAGTATACTGCGCGGCAGTTCGTTCTGTTTTAATTTACGGCAGCGAAACGTGGCCATTAAGAGTAAAAGGTACTCGTAAGTTACTAGTATTTGACCACAGATGTCTTAGAAATATTGCTGGGGTCTGCTGGGATCACCGAGTAAGTAATAGTGAGGTTTGACGCAAGGTATTAGGGAATGATGGTAAATCAGTTGATGAGGTTGTGAATCTTCATCGACTGAGATGGTTGGGCCACGTGTTACGTATGCCTGAACACCGATTACCACGACGTGCAATGCTGACCGGTGTTGGATATGATTGGAAGAAAGTTAGGGGCCAATTCATCTGGACCAACTGCCCTTCCTCGTTTCAGATTAACTATAGCCTTTTGAACTTCTGCTAGAGTTGGGGGACCTACTTCAATGTTCCATTCACACTGTCTGGGAATGGAGGGTAGTTGTAGAGTAGCTGAAGGCCAGCTGAACTGTTCTCTGAAATGTTCCGCCCATCGTTCTAAACGTCTGGACTGGGAGCAGATGAGGGTGTCGTCTTTTTCCGAAATAATCTCACTTACACTTGACTTATTAATTCCAGTTTCTTTTATTAGTCTGTAAAGCTGTCTTGTGTTCCCTATAGTCGCCGCCTTTTCCATCTCTTTTGCTTTCGTTGCCCACCACTGCTCACGGTCGTTCCTTAGACTTTTTCTTAACCTAGATCTGATTTGTTGTCGCTCTTCATCATGTTCGGAACCTGATGGGACGAGTTTGCGAGAATCCATCAGTGTGATAGACTTTGAAGAAATCCACTGGTTCTTTGTAACTCTGTGGTTTAAGTCACTGATAGATGTCACAGCTGTTTGTATGCTTTCCAAGCAACATCTGGGTCAGCCTCGTCTTCAGAACTACCTAAGTGTGACCTCAGTTGTTCCTGGAACCTACTTTTGGTTTTCTCACTACTCAACTCAGTTCTAATGGGTCTTTTTAATGTGGCTTTTTTGCGTCCAGTGAGGCGCAAGCAGATGCGTGCCCGTATTAGGGCATGGTCGGAGTCCAAGCAGGTACTCCAGAATGAGCGACAATCTTCTACCGACCCTCTCCAACGATGACTGATGGCAATATGGTCTATTTGAGTCCATCGTTGGTTTGGTGTAGGGGGTCGCCATGTTAGACGATGTCTCTCCTTATGCTTAAAATTTGTGTTTGCTAAAAATAAACGATTGTCTGAGCATAGTTGCAGCAGACGATCACCATTATCTGTTCGCTGTGCCGGAATACTAAAATATCCACCTAAATGCCTTTCTGTTTGGTTTAAACTACCTATCTGAGCATTAAAGTCACCTGCTACGAGTACTATGTCTGAACGTTTAGCTTTCTGTAAAATTCATCTTTCACTTCATCTGAGCTGCAGTCAGTGGGAGCGTAGGCAGAAACGACAAAAAGGCAACGACGTGTGTCCCTATCCTTCCGAGTTCTTACGGAGCCGTTTAGCCGAACAGCACATAGACGACTGTTGACGGGGATCCACTCTAGCAGTGCTTGTTCCGCCCTCATGCTTAGTGCTATGCCTACACCTGCCAGTCCACGAGAACTGGCCATCGGGTCACCAGATACACGAGGGTGTATCTCGTTGGCTCTCCGTTTTGCCGAGGTGAGGTCAAGTGAATGACCACACTGGATCCTGTATGCGTGTTTCAGAGACACAGCATACATCAATGGTAAGAGATTCTAGGGTTTTAGCCAAGGAAGCCTGTTGACCGATTTGACATAGGGTGCGTACGTTGAAGGCTCCAATGTGTAGTTTGGAGCGAGGTTTCAGTAGACCTGGGACAGTGTTTTGAGCACTAGAATCGTTGGCTACAGTGACACTTGAGGAGGAAGCCAAAAGAGGGAGTTTAAAGTGGAAAGTCGATGTAGGAGGAATAATAGGAATTGAAGAGGAAGGTTGATTATGAATACAGTGGTCTTGAGTGCTGTTAGAGGTGAGGGCGGTTATTACTTCCCGATTGCCCACACCGTGGAAGGGTTCTTCTGGAGGAACCTGGAAAGGAAATTGGATTAATAGTGGTCTTACTGACCTGAGCGCGTGACCGTTGTGCCCAAGGGACAAATACTTGAGGTTGGTCACACACGACCATTTTGTGGGTATTTTTGTGTTAGCTTCGTACTTGTTGAGACCTTACCGCCGGAGACGGATATCCGTGGGATAAGGCGAAGTGTGCATTTTTAGGGTCGACCTTTTTAACCCCACCCCTCCTTGAGGGAAGGCATCATCACTTTCATGCTGGTTGTCTGAAGGAAACACCTTACTGCTGTCACACCTCTATACAGTCAGCAGTACGACTTCGTCTTCGGACCTTGGGTTTGTTGCTTTTAGTCTTACTGCTCTTCAACCGACCTGTCTGACATGGTAGGACCTTGAGGAACGGTTGTTCCAGCCAGTATAGCTCGGTTGCTTCATCACGATAGGCAAGCCCGACCACCACGTCAAGGTAACAACAACACATAAAAATTGGTACAAAGAGGCACAAAAAGATATGCGACACACAAATCAAATGAGATTTGTGTGAGGGCTGGAATAGTGCCCGTGTGTCCAAACCGAAGTAGCTGGTCTTCTTATGGGGTCACACCCGGCCTTCGGCCTTAAAATCTAATCCCCAAGTCAGTGGAGCAACATAAGGAGATGCAGTCCCATGGTATCGGGTGACCAACAATTGTTTCATACGCCATTTGTTCCGTCAGCATCCTGAAGCCCATTTGCACCAATGGTTTGAAATCAGGATTTTCCAACTTCCCTAGGTGGACTCTCGGTGTCCACCAACCCAGTTAAAGCACCGGACATTCGCTTCTCATGCTCTCGATTTCGTAAACAACACCACTGTGAGAAGGCAGTGAGGAGGGCTTCCCTGGCAGTGGTTGTATGCACGTGGCCATGTGAGAGCATTTCGAGAGGGAGAGCTGACTCTCCCCACTCTCGGTCGTACCAGGGCATTTGGGGGCAGTAGAAGGTTAACATAAGCTTCCAGTCGGTATGAATTTTTCCAAACCCAAACAAGTGTGTCTATGTAAGGCCGGTGATTGTTTACCTTACTTTTAGTCCAACGTCTGTTAAAAGTATGGTTCGCGGAAACCTGGTGGAATTTCTGTTGTTGAGTCTGTCTCAAATAACTCTACAGTCGCTAACTTATACAGAATGAATAATGGTTGTACTTTTTTATAGCTTCATCATTTTGTTCATCGCAATCCTGTTGACAAAGAACTTTTCCGGATATTCGTTCCACATTTTCCTGCTTTTGAATATCACTTAACCCCGCCTTTTAATTTCTACTAGTTAGACGTTTATTTTAAAGTTTTTTGACATTGTGATGCAACAATTACCTACGATGTGGTTGGATATTTTCAGAATCTTTATGTTGTTTTTATACATATTTCGATATCATTTTCAGGGTACTCATAAGTAGTTTGCTTTTTACTGACATTTTGTGAGATGTTTCATAATTTGTAATTTACGCTGTTAAACTCATGAGTCTATTGCGAACCTGGAAGTACTGGACAGCCGCTTCGCCCTAGTATGGGACTCCTCCTCAGTACTCATCCATGACCTCACCCACGGAGTTCGAACCTCGGACCTTTAGTCCCGCGCGCAAACGCTTGTCATCCAGACCATTGAGCCGGCGTCCAGCGGTCTTCAGATCTAAATTCAGTCTACCCATGATCTTGCGCGACCCTTCATCCATTGTTTGAAGTAGATACCTGTCTCTATCTAATACGGATCGGACTTCACTGATCAAAGCATCTCACTAGAACTCTAGGAGTTCCATCTTGAAGCTAGTCACTAGTGGTCACATGATTGTTATTAATATTGGGATTTGTGGAGATTGCATTATTTTCACAGTGCGGGATCGTGGATACGTTCTGTGGAGTAGTCCCATACTGAGGCGAAGCGGTCGTCTAGTTGTTCCAGATTCTCAATGTTTGTCTAGCTTAGATCGACTCATGAGTTCAACAGTGAAAATGTTATAATCTCCGTAAATTGATTCTCTCCTCCCTAGTGTTTGAGTTTTTATAATATTTAATATATCTCATTTCTTGATTGTATTTATTTCTCTCTAATTATTTTTCTTACGTTTAGTCTTCTGCTAAAATCGATGCCAATTTCCCACTGCAGTTTTTTTTATTTCTTATTTTTATGTTCTGATGTGGAGTATTTTACTTAGATCTATGAACATCTGTTCTATATCCTGTGTTGTTCATGAGTAGTGATTAACTCGTATATTATCTGGTGTCAATCGTATTTAAGTAACTCGAAGGAAAATCTATTGTCAATTTTCCCACAATTTACTATCGTTTATTTGTTTTATTCGTGAAGTAATTTTAGTAATAGATGTAGGAGAATTTTTCGCATTTATTCGATGTCACTATTTGTTTCTCTCTAGTCATCCTGTTATTCTTTATCTATTTCTCATATTATCTACATGGTACTGTGATACTACTTTATAATATGCCTCGCTCTGTATATACTTTGTTCCGGATTTAACCTCAAAGCAATATTTTCTTTTAGATAAATATACCCCTTAACAGTTGAGAAGGACGTAGTTAGCAAAGTGAACTACTAGAAAGATTGTTACGTTCCTAATAAACAATTGTTAATTGTATCATATATAAATTTTCTCCAATCTCCTCAAAAAACTTTAGAGTTTGTTCTGCATTTGTTTAGTTTCCTAATTTAAATAGTTTCGTGATAATATCCTAGAAAAATGGAACATTTTTTACATTATTTCATTAACTTTCATCTAATGAATAACACAACTGTTAACTTTTTGGACGCGATCTATCAATCTCAATAATTAATAGCTGCCATAAAGTCCTTAGATTACTAGCTTCTGACATGCGTAATGTATTGTATAATTATTGTTTCGTATTTCAGACGTATTTTCTATATTGCGTTTCTGTCTTCACTTTCACTGTAGAGCTATCCAGTAGAGGCACTGAGTACTGCCCAACAGGAAGTATTACAACATATGCGCGAACTCGGCTTAGCTTATCAACGAAAGCGTACAGCGCCTCGTTTTTATGTAACTCCTCTTGCTTTGGATGTAGCTGGAGGTCATACTACTTTCTTGGAAAGTAAATCAGGTGGATGGGGCCCACAATTAGGAGTTATTCCTACTGGTGTCTCAAAAACAGATCCCACCGATAGCAACAAAATGTTTTCGCAAATTTCAGTATCGAATTCTTCCGATGTTGGTTACATTTTGCTAGAAACCAATTTCCGACTATACGCCTATACTGGTAAGCGAGCAATTTATGTTGTTCAGCTGCTTGAAAAATATTATTGTGTTAAAAAAGATTGAATTGTACTGCAATTGTTCATCTGATTGATGAATAGATGAGAACAAGTGTGACAGGTAATTGAACATCTTCCACCTGGTCAGTGTTCGTTGTAATCAATTTTCACTAATTATCCAAACGTTCTGCGGACATTACATTTGCCTCTGTGATTCTCATCAAACAATTATGTGGATATATAACTGTTGTTTAATTGTCAGTAAGATTCTCAGTCCCGTGCTATAGCTTGTAGTTGATTTATACATTTTTCAGGTTAATCATCTTCATATACGAAGTATTCACATCTCCACTCTTTATGACTATTATTGTTATTAATAAAATTGTATATTAATTGCGTTTTACTATGTTTTCATATTTATGTCAGAATTTATTTTCTTTCGTAGATTCACCGCTTCGTACCGCTCTTCTTAGTTTATTTAGCAAAATACGTGCACGTTTCCCTAATCTTGTTGTTGCTGATATAACTCGTGACTCAGTTCGTGAAGCATTAATTCGTGGAATAACTGCAAATCAGGTAAGTTTTAATAATATTCCCATTTTAATCTTAACCAACTTAATCTTATAGATTCTATCTTTCTTAACGACCAATGCACATCCAGATATGTTACTACAGGTAAATTTTGTTTGTTGTATTTCCTTACTGTAAGTTATTTTCTATGTTGTATCGAAATTTCAAAACAGATAGTTAACCATGTGTAAATTGTCAAGCGTAAGATTTAGTAACTTTAACGGTATTCTTACATTCTCTAAGGTTTTGTGCGTATGTTGCAGTATGTTAGGTTTTAGTATTTATGGAAGAAATATGTAAATGGTCTGTATAATAGTTGGTATTTAAAACAAACCATTTAATGTATAGAGATCATTGATTTATATGTTAGGTGTTTAGAGACAGTCGGTAAGAAGCCCTGGACTAGTTTATATTTATCACCAAGGCTTATCTGCACTCTTAAGTGAATTGCTTTTCTCCGTAGAATTCAAACTCCTATCAGCCAGTATCATATAGACCTTATCGGTGATTAGTTTAGGCGTTGTTTTCGGTTATTTCTGTCACGAAATTTCTGGTTTTTGACTCAAGCTGAAACTTATTTAATGAATACCTAAGATAACCACACAAATCGACAGCTTCGTGACAACTATGATCATGTGTGATGGAGAACATTAACTCCGTCGACTTTTTATATTGAATATCTCATAAATAGATTCCTGTCCCGCTAAATTTCAGTCAGATTTAACATATGGAGCCCTATCATTTCAAATAAACGTTATCGATCAACTGAAGCATCTTGAATAACACCAATCAGATGGGGTTGCGTCCGTCTCCAACACCTTAGCTGACGTCTTAAGAAACTTAACTGCCAAAAGTGACCCACCATACTTCAAGACTTTTCTAAAGCAACTTATCAGACCTTTCCAGTTTTTAACCTTACTAAAATGTACGAGACTTGTTTTACTTTCCATCCCAGTTTATATAGGAGTAGATATTAACTAATGAATAGCTAAAGGTCAGTAGAATCGTTCTTTACTGTTCCGCCCGCCGTTCTAATATCCTAGAAAGGATGGATCACCGTACTGTCTTTTCCTAAAATAATCTGACAACTGACTTCTTTTCTTCAATGTTCATCGTTGTTTGAGGCTGCTGGAATGACTTTATGAGCGTCCATTACTTGAAAACTAAGCTTATATTCGTTTTCAAATTAGACATAACTTATAAAATGTACACTAACTCCATTTACTGTTTTTTTAATTGTACTACAGAATCCTATATTACCGCCTACTTTAACCGATCAAATACGACTATGGGAATTAGAACGAGATAGATTTCTATTTCAAGAAGGCTGTCTGTATGAACAATTCTCTCGGAATACAGATTTTGAAATGGTTCGGGATTATGCTAAAGTAAATTAGTGACTATTCTTTTTGTTAATGGAGGCTTTTTCTCTGTCTTTAGAATATTGGTGTTTTACTCTGGGAAAATCCTGAACGAAGACTTATGGTTGTGTCTAAAGCAGGTCATGAAGATGTACGGAAATTTTGGAAACATAAACGTCCATCCTAAAACTTTGTCACTGTTCAATTTTCTTTTTCTACTCCAGACTATATGTACATATATAATTAGACATTTTCATTTTTATTCTTACAGTATTTGTTGAAGAATGATTTTTCAGTAAAACTACATGATTTGTTATTTTTAAACTTAAAACTATGCTACTTCCGTTTTTTAACCAGTTTGATGAAATATCTAGAGAGGTCACGCAGTAATAATAGTTAAAAAAAGATACCCTATTCAACTATAAATATTCACATACATGGAATAAAATCAAAACTTGTTTAGCTTACTTGTTTACTTTCGTCACAGTGTTTGTCCTCTTATTTTAGGAAGTTCTTATCGAAATAAGGTTTAGTAAGCTTCCATTATTGGATTCGTGCGACTAAGTTTTGGTATATAAATATATGATCTTCCGCAGTCGATGTACATAATTTTTACTATAAAGATTTTTATTCCAGAAACTATTACGACGAATGCATTAATTCTATTTCAGTAATTATAATTCAATTTGTAAAACAATCAGTGAAGTTAAAACTTCTGATGGACAAAGTAAATTCTTTAAATCTACTAACTAATAAAAGTTTCTTACCAGTGAGTGACTACGCAACTGAACTTCAACACTATTATTGAATAATTACTAAATCCAATTAAAAGACGTTGTTTACAACTTTTTGGATATTCATTAAAATCAAATAGCAGTTGACACTTGTTCTACCGAAACTCTTGACTTCATAGTTAATCAAATCTTTGTTTTTAATTAAATTTACACAGAGATGTATTTAAATATAGCTTTCTAACTGCATACTGTGTTTTCCTACCCTTTAGTAGATTATATTCGAATGATTCAAAAATAATTCTAACGTACTCAAGTTTAAAAACTCAATTTCCACAGTTGAAATCTCGAGTTGACTAAATCTAGACCACCATTGAAAACCTGGAAGGGCATGAAGGTCATTTCGTCCCAATATGCGACTCTTCAGTAGTGGGAATATTTGTCAAAGAACCCCAAAAATTAGTAAGACAAAGACCTGGTAACATATAGAGATTATTGTCACGGAATATAAATCTTTTAGTATTATTTCTAATATTTTTATAGCATGGATTAGGCGAATATGGTACAATCGGAAACTATTGTTAGACATGTGTTATGAATGACTTAAGTAGCCTACGTACATTCATACGTATCTAGTTTAATTTTCACGATAAATCAAAATTGTTTTGTCTGTACTATTGTTTTATTATCATCGTTATTATTATTTTGAAATTACTACCAATTTTTATTGTTTATAAATAACAATTTGCATATATTTCTTGTTGATTAATTGTATGAACTGCCTACTTAATCCTGTTCATATATAATTTGAACTTTTATGAATGTAGAAAGTATTTACGATTACTTGAACCAGTTAACTGACGTATTCTCATGTATATTTTTTACAATTATTTTTTATTTATATGTGGAAGATTTAAGAAATATGAAATGAAATAAATTCACTTCAACTAGGAGTATTTGGTGTGTTTCTGTTTGATAAGGAACATTTATTAAAAGAACTAAAAGATCTAAGGGTAGTAAAAGTAATATATTTATGAACTGCGATATCATATCATCCATTTGATGTGTGGAAATCGTATGTTAATGTTATTTCGTCCTGTTTCTCCGTCTACACCGATAAAACACTAATTTGCCTTAGATGAATATCGTAATCTACACACAAAGATAGAACATTCAAATTGGTCTGAAAACAATTTCTGTAGATGGAACTGCTCATATTCCCGATCCACGATATTGGCATACACAAAGCAATAGTACCGTAGACCTTTTACAAGCTGAAGACCCTGGTATCTATTGTGAAATTTTCGTGATCGTTCACCAACTATACGTTTCTCGGAAGGTTAGATTGGCTGAATTATTTGGGAGAATAAAATTACAAAACTTTTATGTTCAGGAATTCCGAGTTTTCGTAATAATAGTCTGTTTTGGGCTTTTGTCCCACTCTTTACAATCATTAATAAACAGATCCTCATGACGCTTAAACCACGCATGAAAAGTAATTCCACCTTCTGAATCAAATATAAACGCACTGAGTGAATTTGCGATATTATCTGAAGTCATGGGTGTTTTTTAAATTAAATTATTGTAAGTCATGTGTGTCCAGTGCTAATATCTGTGATCTAATTATGACAACAAATAGATCATTGAACTAATATACTACTTTTTTGTCTTAAAATATTCGAAATATTTAGTAGTTTTAAGTAGTTGTTCAAACAAATATTTTATGAACATATAATTGAAGAAAAGATTAAATAGAATAGTTCGTCAAACAAATTAATAATCGTACCTTATTTCTAAAAAAAAACTCTCCCGGTCCCCCACATTGTACGAGCATAACATGTACCTAAATCAATGGTTGCTCTGGTTTTCAGAAGAGGCCTCATGACTTCCGAAGTAATTCGGCTTTCATCATGAGGCGTCATAACTCTTCTGAATGATGACCTAACTCCCAGGGCAGATTTTAAGTGGTTTGAATAATCTTTTTTGGTTAGCGTTATTTGGCGAGTTAGTTTTCTACGGGGTTGGATCGCTAACAGGATGCTCAACCCTCCTCTTTTATTCGGGCTTGAGACCGGTAGTAACCCAGGAGGTGCTCCAGGTGGATACTTAACTGTTTTTAACCACTTTGTAGTTTCACTGGTTGAAATCATGAGTCAGTCGAAGCTAGACCACCATGGAAAACCTGGAAGCACTGGATGGCCGTTTCGTCCTAGTATGGAACTCCTCAGCAGTGCGCATCCACGATCCCGCCCCCGCGAGATTCGAACTCAGGACATATCAGTCTCGCTCCAGGCACTTAACCAACTAGTCCACTGATCCAGCATCCAACGGTGTTAATGTCTAACTTCAACCAATTCACGAAGATGCGCCACCGTACACCATTGTCTTCAGCGAGTTGATATCTCACAACAGACCTGGTTGAACTCCACTGGTAACGGCTTCTCACTAGAACTCCAAGAGTATTTCTTGAAGTCAGTCACTAGTGAGCAGATGTGAATATTTTAAAACAATCAATTTATCTTCCACTTATATTTAGATACAAAATAAATTAACTACCAAAAAATTAAACTCATTGTATTTTTATTATTAGCTTTATTCAATATTATATTTCTGGTACAATACTGAATTCTCAGCGCAAAATATTTCAACAAATTTCCGTTTTCGTTTTTATTGATCGATCCTGACGACAAATATTGAGTGATCGCCAATTATATGTTAGCAGTTCAGGAATCGACATCTGAATAATGTACTTTCTTTTCGATGTATGTTGCCAGCAACCACAATATCTCTGATTGTGCTCTTTCCTAACTTATACAGCGAAAGGTAGTGAACTTTTCACAAACGCTGCTGAATAGATTGTGCAATTAATTGATATAATGATCTGTTGAAACAAACAAAAGACAGATAACTTATTGAAGTATCCAGATGGCAGGAATAGGTAGCAAAGATATTGAAACGGGCCGCCTATGAGTGCTCAGTTGGTCAGTTCATACACACTAATCACACGGTGGTTATCGTGCATTTTAGTATCTTCGTGAATAATACTGGAATGCGGAAATACAGTTAACTAAATTCAACAAGTCTATGTTGATGTTCTTCCTTGTTGTTTTGCTTTTTGCATGAACTAAAGCAATTACATTATAAAACATGTTGTATATAATGCTCGATACGTATAATGAGTTCTGACCGGTGAAGAAAAAACTCAGAAACAATCTTTGACTTTGTATTCATCCTATATTGAAATTTATTAAAAATAGCTTATGATAGACACTAACTTGAATTTAATTCAGAGAAAAGTTTTAAATCAATTCAAACGACAGAATTATGAATATCATTTATTTAGGAGAATCAAAAACTATTATAATCCGATTAATGATAGCCATCATTTTTAACCATGTGTATCGTTAATCGTTAAGGTGAAAGATATTCATAGCCATGAAATGGGAAGCCTTCTAAGAAATTTCATTCCACTCTTGCTGTCTATCATCAATTAGCGTAACTTCACCCTAGAGAAAGCTCTTATTATATCGAAAATTCACGTATGTATTAATTAACACCATAATCGCATAGATTATCGTCACGTATCTCAGGCAACAACAACACTGTTTAAAAGTATATAAGATGATAATCGAATATTATCAGTTGTTGTTAATCTCAGCAGACATTTTTCGCTCCTTTTAATTAGGCAGAACTTTTTGTTAATCGCCTATAGTAGACTTATAAACGACGAATCATTTCTTCATTTTTGCATGAATACTGCTTATTTCTTATAATTTTATAGAAAGAAACAGATCGACTTTTCAGTTGATGTTGGTTTGTATTGGAAAAATCTCGGAGAAATCGGACATCATCCCTAAAAACGTATCTACATAAATTGGTTGAATTTCTGAACAGCGTATGGTTTTAAAACATTATTTTAAAGGGAATTTACATATGTTTATCAATAATAAAGACTGAGAATTATATTGACCGACAAAATAATGGAAAGTAGAACTATTTACATTAGATATGACAACTTTCAATCATTTATAGTTATACATATATATTTCTTTGATAAAAATTTTTAATCGATACCTGTTATGGAACAACAAAAAATAGGGTCAGTTTATAATTAATGTTACATGAAAAAGTTGACGTATGGTTTGAATTAAATAGAATTAATAGTGATTATCAGGTTGGTCTTCTGTTAGTGTGTGTTATACAATACGTTTTTTAGGTCATCACTTATATGCAAGGTTTGCATATATAAATGTACTCACTCAGTAGTTAGGGCATTTAAAGAAAATTATAAATGAATATTAAAATATGATATTAAAAGAATGCCAAGTAATTCTGAAGTATATTTTCCTATATCCTTCAAACTGCTGAAAGTAGATTAGCTATAACACATTTAATGCGAACAATACACTAATTTGGCTTTATTATAATCAAAATTTGTACAGTAGGCTAGTCATATGATTTGACAAGAATAATTGTAGTTAGCTACATTACAAAAGACAATAACTAATGTGCATGAAATCATTTGGTTCTAAACGTTTGTTTCCTATTATTAATTAATAGTATAAATTCTAATTTGATCTCGAACGCTTTATATTCGAATCGAATTCATCTTAATCAACCTGCACTTCCATTATTATGAAATAACTCATTGACTAACCGATATGATATATTCCATGTATTTATAGTCTGTGTACTTTCAAAGGGGAATTACATTTTTATATGGTGTATTGCCGCATATTGTAATGAAAAATTAATTCATACAGAGTAACTCTAATTTGCGTCACAATATCTGTCAACATCTTATCATGAACAAACATTTTATCACGGAAAATTTTTATGTGATTACGTTTTAGATCCATTTATTTATTTTAACACATAGATATTGGTAGAAGGAGGCACCAAATACATATGCGCCACACAAATCTTATTCTATATGTGTGAGGGCTGTGATACTGCCCGGGTGCCTAAACCGAAGCAGGTGGTTTTCTTAGGGGGGGGCACTACCCGAGCCTTCGACCTGAAGGTCTGATCCACAGGGCAGTGGAGCATCGTAAGGAGATGCAGTCCCCTGGTAGCCGGTGACCAACGATTGGTTCACACGCCATTTGTTCCCGCAGGATACTAGAACCCATGTGCACCATTCGTTTGGGATCCGGTTAAAGCGCCCGACGTTCGCTTTTCGTCCTCTCAATTTCGTAAACAACGTTTTAGAAGATGCTCTTAATAAATTTTTTGACAAAATAATTGGGATTATTTTATTTTATACCATCTGAACACACAATTGTTCTAATTTTTAAGATAGCATGACAAAGAAAATAATTCATTATGTCAATTCAAATATTTAAACTAATTGATTGAAGTTAGACATTAACACCGGTGGATGTTGGCTCAATAGTCAGGAGGTTAAGGATTTTCAAGCGAGACCGAAGGTCCTGGGTCCGAGTGCCGCGTGCGGAATCGTGGGTTTACACTTCTGAGGAGTCGCATATTAGAAAGAAACGGGGTCATGTGAATTTATTAGTGGTGTAACATTGATCTGTTCATGTCCTTAATTAAGAGAATGATATTTGGCTAACTCAACTTATTGTTCGAACAATTAAATACATATTTGAATAGTAAAATATGAATAAATGAATATTTAATTAACTCTGTATAATCAGAAAAGGTATCCTTCAATGTAAGACCTAATGTCTTACTGTCATGTCAGCATACCATACTAAAACATCATAAAGCGGTATACTGATTAACATTTTTATAGGTCAGACAACCGTAATAACAGAAAATCAACGTAGTAAATAACAGAATATTTGTTGATACATAATAACTAGGCAAAAAGTAATTGGGCTAAAGATTTACGTATATGTGTACTATAGTTATTTTTATTTAGAATTTAGTCACCTACATTATTCAGTCATTAATTCGTAATACCTTGAACGCTACTACCAAACGGTAAATAGATTCAGACCGATAGACACCAAATGAGTAAGTTCGCTCAACGTTAATTCTGGCTATCCCTATACTACTACCGATATACTTTTAATTGAGCTAGTCTTTCAAATGAAGCGCAATGGATCCATCACGTAATTTAGATTAGGTTAACAAAACTCTTGAATAGATAACAACCAGTCTACATAAGCTACTCAGTGGCTATGTCAGTCGTCATTATGCCTTAAAGATTATTTTGATCCTCATGATTTGTGTTCTTCTTATGATTTTATCAGTTAGTGGTTCATCAGGGCCAAAGTAACTCGATAAATATCTTAAATGCTCAACTGATGTAACCACCTATGTAATCACCCGTTCTAGATAATGTATTTCTGTAAAATAGTCCATGAACACCATCTTATATACAACATGATTCAGATTTATATTAAACACTATTTGATTTTTCGCTCAAAAAGATAATTAATGTTTGCCTGATATCATTTTACTTACCATATTGAATTCGGACATCGAATCTTGAACCAATACAACCGTAATTTAAGTGAATAAAAAGAATGAGTGCAGTTTATCATCGTTTACCAATCATATGTATTCGTAAAATTGTGATGAATATCTTTTACAGTGAATGAATAAAAACGACAAATTCACATCTCTTCAACACAAGATGGATGCGACGTGAAGCACAAATATTAACCACGATCTTCTATATACCGAACGATTTTGTCTTGAAATCATTTTTATTGTAGCGATGTACACCATTCTCTTCTCACATTTGAAAATTAATAACTGTGCTAAAGATGTGACCTTTGGATTCTAGAGCAGAAAGTACGAAGATTTCCCAGTCAGCATTGGTCCAAGTTGCCATATCACACTGGTATGATGAGATGAATGCTAAAGGAGAGAAATACTCATAGCAGTAAAGACAGTGAGAAAACTAAAAGTTGAGAATATATTTCGTAAGGACGAAATGAAAAGGCATGAATGAAGAATTACTGGAACTCAAAATCTAAGGATAAACAGTAAATACATTCGCGAGCAATATCATCGCGAAGACTATAACCAGGTAGTCTGTACCCATCAATATGACCCAGATCAACACCCAACGACTTCATATGCTGATGCCGTTTTAATTTAACCCCCTCTAGCTTACTTCCAACTTACCCCTGTCGATGTATCATAATTTATTTCAAATCATGATTAGAACCGTATGATGAATTTATTTGAAGTACTGTTTGAGGTTGGGTGGTAATAAAAAAAACTAATTAAAGCTACGAACATTGATAAGACGGTAGGATGTTTAGCTGTATATTCTGCGCTCTGATAAACAATTTAGTCGCGGAAGAACTAAGAATGGGAACTATTTTGTTCTATCCACATTCACACTGGTCGTTAAAAACCAGAAATTGCAGTCAGTGAGTAGAAGAAATTGTAGTAAATTTGACAAATGCTTTCATTGTATTTTCCATTTACGTCATGAAAAAAGTTGTTCTTCCCAGTTACTAGATATACTTAAGTAGAAGTGAATGTTATTAGTTTATCTCCTTAAGATCAAATACCCAAATAATAGTCGTATATCTGTCAATCATGAATTTCGAGATAAAATTTCCCAATTTTCGAGGGTGACCAGTAACCGACAGTGTCCAACCGAATGGAGGGAGGAATAATTATTACCGACAGCATCAGGTGACAGGCATACTGTATCGTGGATTGACTGAAGTTGGAAATGTACATTATAAATTTCCAACTTAATGATCTGAGAGTATCATGATCCACAAAATACCGAGGTTTGATTCATGTAATTTAGTGAGTACTAGTGGAAAGTAGCAAGCTAGGAGTCAGTTGCTCAGTGCTCTTCGGTTATTGATATTTTTTCCGTCGAACGTATTAGAAATTAATTTGTTAAATTTGATAAGTTTCTTCAGCTGAAATACCAGTCATTGTTGTATAGGATGTACAGACTGATGATGAATACAATCTAGATGAAAGGAACTAGTCACAAAAATGATCCAATGGATATAAACACAAGACTACATGATTTATATCGATGACTTCAGGTTATTGGAAGCCTTTTTCATCACTAGCTAACATCAGACATGAAAACTATTGGAAACTAGGATGTACTCCAATTCAAAATTTCTCAGAATTAGACACCTATAATTCAGAAGTGAATGACACACCTTCAAATTTAACAGTGACTACAATACAATTTATCCAATGAGCAAATCTTCATTAGTTTGTTTAATACGCAATAGGCTGATAATACATTTCAAAGCAAATTAACAATTCACACCTGATTATTACTGAATTTGACAAAAGCAAATATTTTAATTTAATTTTTGTATTTGGTTCAATGCTCTACGATTTATAAATGTCCTCTCCAGTTTATTACAATCTGCGGTGAAAACCATACTGACTTAGTTACGCTTGTTACCCCTTATTAGTAGAGCATAGGCCATCTACAAGCATTCTTCATCAAACTTTGTCCTGGGCAATCCTCTCCAATTGCTATTCATTCTTTTCATAACTGCTTCCAATTCTTGACGCAGTGTGTTAATCAGCCTTCCTCTTATCCGCTTCCCTTCAGGATTCCATGTAAGGGTTTGCCTCACGATACATTTTGATGATTGCCGTAATTTATATCCTATCCACTTACAGTCTTTTCCTAATTTCCTCTTCCTTTTATTCAAACAGTACAAAGTATTTAATTCAATTTGAAATCGATTAGACCATCTTGTTGACATTTTTAAAACACGCGTTCTTCAATCCACTGCTAACCACATTCCATATATTCTATAGTACAAAGTATTGTTAATATAAAGGTGTATTGTGTAGTAGTGCTAGTGAGTCTTTGTCAACAATTACGTAATTGAAATTCTATCACTACTTATAATAGTGACAATAGGTATATTATAGTAATTCATATTATTATCATTATTACTATTACTAAACAAATAATAATGATGACAGAGGAATGTCAGTCTTTTTGGTCAAAAAAGAATCTAATATCATTATCCATAATTGGATTAAACTGTGTCAGTTTACTATACTACCATAACATCGCTTAACAATGATAATACTGCCATTAATGTTAATAATAAATGTCAATACGAAACCCATACTAAATAGCAGCCACACAGTTGTGATAAAAGATTAGACATAGAAAAGTAACAGTGATTTGTTCCGAAATGATTTATGAAAAGGTATGCACAGTGCTTTTTACTTATTAAAAACGTGCTAAAATATGTGTAATTTTTAAGACAGAGAAAAAAATTAAGGCACTTTGACCAAGCTCAATGAATAAAAAAACAGTGCGAGGAAAATTCCATCTGTGTATGACTCTATAGAAGTAGAAATAATAATTTGATTACCAGAAAAAAAAGTGAGTAAAATAATACACAAAAAAAAGTTATTGAATTTCATTAGGAAAAGATCAATATTAATGAAAGCATATGGTAAACAAATTAATAACAAATTAATCGGATGTTAGCTTATTTTTTCTCTTTTTATTGATTCATGTCTCCCAGTCTGAGCCATCTGAGCCAATATCACCTGGTACAGAATTGGCATCAGATTCTTCTCCACTATCATTACTACACATTCGATTACGTCGCATTTCCATTGCTTGAGCAAGTGATTGTAATAAATCGAATCCTCCTCCACTGGCAGTTGAATTTGCGCCAGTACTACTACTTCCACTATTGCTATTATTAGGTTTCACAGGTGGCCTAGACACACCTTCACCAGGTGTAATCTAAAGTACAAAAAAGAACAAATACAAATAAGGAAGAAATCATCTGTTTATACTAAACATCTATCATGGAACAAAAGCAAAACAATAAAGAAAGACCATAAGTCAATCTATTGGTAAATATTGCCTAATACAGTTTTCATGAAGGCTAATATTAATGAATGGATTAAAAATTCAGCGAAACAAAATCAAAGTTCACCACTTTTATTTCATTTTATTATGCAGAATGCAAGTTGTTTAATGATTGTAATCAATGAATATATTTATTTGAAGCACTGTAATAGAAATAAAATCCTACACTGTAATAATGTAGTGAACGGATGATAACGCAACTATGTCCAAGAATAAATTAGTTCATAGTCAATAAGTTTTACACATTATTTACTTAGTTTACGCATCTTATAATTTAGAAAAAATGGAAATATGTCTTCTTTCAACTAATATAAAATGGGAATAGTAAAAGGTGTACATTAAATGTAGAAACAACATCAAGCATGTACACTGTGAAAACTACGCCAATAGGTAGATGTGCAACCACGGTCACAATGTGGGACAAAACACAACCCTAAGCAATATTTCTTTCAATCATGTGTGGAGCTGGGAATTCAATCACAAACAGCTTCCAGACATTAAAATACATATCCTTATCACTTGTACTTACTGTTTAACAAGCTAATATCTACAAAAATCAATGAAATCTTATTTTTAAAGAAGTAAGGAATAAATATACTACTCTGTTACGGACGCCATTTAACTCTAGGGCCACATAAAGCTCCTATATGTGAAGTTATCGGGTTCTATGTTGCATATGACCGACTAACTCTATTGATTCGGCAAATATTGACACCAAAGAGTACTTACTGCTGTAATTTCCCAGAAAACTATCGTAAAGATAAAATAATAAATGTGACCTTGTGTACCTTTGAATTTACGACGATGGAATCTTAAAGAGTGAACAAACTGGGGAGTTGGTTTCGTGTTCACTAAACGTGAAATATCGGAAATATGAGCATACTACTGTGTAGTAGTCCTTTCAGTATTCATTTCATGAATATAAAAGATGAATTCTGTAGATTCAGAATAGTTGAATATATTATTATTTTACTAATTTGACAGAGGCTATCTTTTCAATCCTAACAGATGTCAACTAAACAACTAAAGTAACTAGGAAACCTATACTTCATAGTTACAATTACCCATCATTTATATCGCCATAAAGATTTAAGATAAAATAAAAACTGAATTACAAGTGGATTGAATTTGTATATTCCAAGTTTGATAATATAAAAAGAATAGCTTCAAGATTCATATGATAATGTAATTTAATTTTATTACAACATCTAGATGATAAGATGAACAAACATTCATGAGAACTAACGCACTGAAATAGCTCACTTTAAAGTTTTAGCAACTAATCCAAAAACTGTTAATGAACAGATTTTGTGCTCAAGATTGAAGGTTATGGCATTTTTAAAATGTATTTCTGGAATTGCCAAGATAGAGATTTGCATTCTATGAAGCGTATTTGATATAAAGTAGAATAGCAGCGGCAACAATAAACATGTCTCCAACGGAAAGTATTGAGTGCATAAGATTAGAATGGAATTTGTATATCATCCCAGGACACCACAGCCGGTGAGGAAGTGTTGGATACAACCTCGGCGAATCATGGCATTCGTGTAGTCCTAGTGTACTTTTGTATGAGAACCGGACAGTTGCTAAGCCACGGTAGACTTCAGGATGTTAAAGGTAGTGGAGAACTCATTTCTGTAACTTATCAAAGTACTTTTACAGACCACTTAGAATGTCATTAAATACAAGTGAAAGCTGGTTGACAGCTAACTCTTCTTCGTTAAAGAACAGAACTGAAACCCGAGATTCTTATGACCTTAAAAAATATTCATTAACATGATCAAATTGAAATAGTAAGTGAATAAGTAAAAAAAGAAAAGAGTAAATCGATAACAAGAGAAGTGACGATATACAGAAACTCACCTTACGTAGGTTGCTTTTTTGAAAAGACATAATCTGTGATTGAAGATCAACAGTAAGACCTGTCGTAGGCTTTGGAGGAGCATTTGATGTGCATTCTTTCTCAGCCCCAGTGGTGGGACATGTTGGAGGAGGTGGTGGAGGAGCAGCTGCGGGAATCGGGAATATGGGTGGTGGAGGTGGTGGCGGTGGAGCAGGGATCTCATAAAGAGGGGGTGCAGGCAGAATAGGTGGCGGTGGTGCGACTGGCTTAGGAGCTACTTGTGGAACAGGTGGTGGGGGTGGGTGTTGTATTGTAACCGACTGGGAAGGTGTAACAGAACCAAGATTTTGTCGACGGGGTGCGGAGGGTGGTGGAGGTGGTGGTGGTGGTGGTCTAGGAGGGGGAACATTAGTAGCTGGTATGTTACGTCTATCACTCTGAGAACCGGTCAGTTGTCGTTGTATCTAAAAATAAAAGAAATGTGTATGATAAATTAGGCATTAGCTAAAACAAGTATACATGTCTAGTGACCGAAAAGAGTGCTATGAAATGCATACAAAAATCATTATGGAATATTTTCAGACCATATTACTGATAGACAGGATATTAATGGATTTAGCAACAATCACAATAAATTGTGCACAACTCTAGTCGTCATTTATCACAGATACGGAAGTATACGACTAAGTAGCACCTAGCTAAGTTGTTGGACCAATAAAATAGAACAAAGATATATGAAATTTACTTAAGTTACATCCCAACGCAAATAACTAACACAGCCAAAGATGAGCCAAACTGAATGCAATGTAGGTAGAATGTTAGCTTCTTAAATAAGTTCAAAGCTTAAGTTAAGCTATATGTGCATCATCAGAAGACAATTTACTTGAACAATAATAATATTCAATTTTGTTGCAATATATTCAGCTATAAATCATTTTTCTAGTTATTTTAAATCAACTGATATAAGAGTTGTATATCTCTAAAATTCGTAGGTGGTGTATTACCTTCAGACTATTTTGCTTGACTGAATGCTGTAAAACCGTTTAAGGATTTGAGAGCGATGACATCGTTATTCCAGTCCCAAATAAATGCCCGCAATCCATAGATATCCTCAGAAATCTGCTGCAATTAGTCATTAAGCGTAGTTTTCGGCCATTGGTTTACTTGAATTTAATTATCTTCTTGAATGTGAAGTCACCGTGAATGATAAATTCCTTACTGTAATCCAGAGTTAGGATAACCGTTATAACAGAACGGATATTATAAAAGTTGGAAGTGGGTTTTTCGAATTATTATTATGAATTTATGGGATATTTATTAAGCAACCGGATTAACGTATTAACTACTGTTAAACAACTACCCATTTTAATATGTTGTCAGTATGTTATTTACAGTCTCCACTTCCCACAGCCAGTTTTGGATTGTTCACGAATAATTGTTATTTTTCACTTCATAGTGCAATGTGGTTTTAAATTCAATGTTAGTGAAGGCTGATTACTGAAGGGCAGTGTAGAGAGGGAAGCTACAGGACTGTGGATCAACAAGGACACAGAAGTTGAATCAAGGTTACTAGTCCTAGTTAGACACAATAAATCTGAGATGCTAGGTCATAGAAATCGGGGTTCTGATTGGTGGTTTGTTACGCGTTATTAAACAGCGAACATAGGTCATAACAATAACCTATAATGGATGAGACAATTTTTTATTCCGTAGTTTAGATTATTCATTGATATAAGTTCAGATACAACATTGACTTCTTTATAGTTTTCATTGTTATGATACTGGATTTTGATAAACAATATTTATTCAGATAAACCTAAATTAACTTTCCAGTTATTAATGGTATTTACTTAATCACTTGAAAGTAGATCACGGTAAGAGACTAACACATAAGCTGGAGATAATCAATGAAAAACGTTTAAAAATTTATAATAAAGACGTATCTAGCATGATATCGGTAGTATTTGGATTTCATGATAAGTAAATTTATAGTTGGAGTTACTGAGTTTAAACATGGCAATTTTTCGATGTTAACTCTAGTCTAGCGAAACCGATCACATAAACAATCATGTAATGCATGTTCATGTAACGGTTCCTCATAATATTTTAGAGGAATTTATAAATAACCATAACTTAAGTGCAAAAAAAACACTTGTAGATTATATGATTAAATTCAATACACTGTGCGAAGCGAATACTTTATTTTGATCATCAGTTACCTTAAATCATGGAAACGAAGCTCTTGAATAGAGTCAGTAATGTATTCGCTCAATGTTACAGAATATTAACACAATTAAATGATTCATATGCTCACTCATACTTAACGTTTTCTGTATACTGTTTGCTTAGTCGTCTTGCAATGACCAGTCAAATAAATAGAGAATTAGTGATAATTATTATGGACAGTAAACATTTTTTTCAATTACACAGTTGTTTGGTGTTTTGAATAAATGTTATCATAATATCAAAAAATATAGGTATATGGAATCATTAAGATGGAAGAGGTAAGAGAATAGCGGTTAATACAACCAGTTTAATCTCAGTAAAATGAAACATATACACTCAAAATGTCCTGGTCAAATATGCAGTTTATGAAAATTTACATAAATGTACACGTTTTTTCGATAAATCAGTAACTAAGTTATGTTAATCACCTAGTAATAATATGTATAATAGATAGATAAACAAAGAACGACGTAGAAACTTGGACGAAACTGAATAGGTTCACAATATACATAGTGAATATGATAAAATGAACATAAAAGGCTGGTGGAATTTACTAGAATAAGGTATCTAAAATACATTAAAATAGTTTGTTTATGTAGATGTATAACCTATGGGTTTCTTACTAAAATTTCTTGACTTTTTATTAATCAATCAGTTCGATGAAGTAAAAACTGCCACAAATGCACATCAATCCATGTTACCACATGATCAATTATCTTCTGATTTATTGCATTGTCTTAACTTATTAACACGTTAGCGCTGTTGATACGAACCATTTTGTAGGGAAATTTATAAGTAGGTACACTGAATTTTATATATGGAGTTTTATCAAGTGAAGCAGATTCACATAATAACAATATACAACAATTCAAACAAATGCAATTTAGACCTGTGTATGAAGTAGGAATAAAAGCAATATTAAATCAAATCGAGTAAACTACGTTCTGAATATTAGTATTATTATTAGACTAAGATGAAAATAGTCGCACACAAGGTTATTAGTAATTATAATAGATCCTTAGTTTAGTTTGCCGATTATTCTAGTACCTACTTATCTAAGATTGAAAATATAACACGGTGAATTGTATATAGATGTTTCTATTTTTATTCGACAATCGGTAACTCACATACAAATGCATGTACGCAGCTTTTATCCGTACATTTTATGTGAGGGTTACTGATAATACTCAGCTGTCTAAACGGTAGGTACGATGCGATTAGAATCTCGAACTTAATGGCTGAATATCAAGTTAAAAAGATCAACCAGTCTGATCAATAAATAATTTGATACGGTCTACACTACGTAAGTTTTTAAGTATTTGGTATTTTCATAGTTATCCCTGTAGAATTAAAGTGTATTGATTTTAAAAGAAAAACTTAAATCTAGCTAGCACTGTAGATAGGGGTGCTACTAATCGTACATACAAAAAATGAACACGTACATGATCTGAGAACGATAATAACCAATAAAATGTTCATATTTTTAGAACTAATCATCACAGATAGACATGAATTCATACCATGATGTAAACACACATATATACGGCTCCAGCCGTTTCCTATTGATTAAATTTTGTAAAGCTAAATGGTTGCAGTTGAGGACTTAGTTAATGATTCGTTTAATTATCAAAACATTTATTCGATTTTCTACCATTGAGTTATAAATTTGAAATCTGCTTCAGCTAATTTGGATTAAACAGCTATATAACAATTCCGCCTGAAGTCCCTCCGGTGGCTACTGCCGGTCCCAAGCCCGGATAAACGAGGAGGGTTGGGCATGAGGTTAGCGTCCTCATCCCGTAGAAAACTAACTCGCTAAAAAAACGCTAACCAGAAAAAATTATTCAAACCTTTTAAACTCTGCCCCGGGAGTCAGAAGGTCTTCATTTAGAAGAACTATGACGCCTCATGATGAAAGCCGAATTCCTTCAGAAGTTACGAGGCCGATGCCCCTTCTGACAACCAGAGCGACCATTTATTTAGGTACATGGAATGTTCGTACAATGTGGGACACCGGGAGAGCCTTCCAAATTGCTGCAGAAGTGAGAAGATACAACCTAGAGGTGCTTGGGATCAGTGAAACACATTGGACACAAGTTGGACAACAATGACTAACTACAGGAGAGCTTCTGTTACACTCCGGCCATGAAGAAGAAAATGCCCTACATACACAAGGAGTTGCATTGATGCCGTCCAGAAAAGCGCAAAATGCGCTTATAGGATGGGAACCTCCTGGACAAAGGATCATCAAAGCCTCGTTCAAAACAAAGAAAGAGGGCATTTCAATGAACATCATCCAATGCTATGCGCCTACCAACGACTACAATGAAGACGCTAAAGATCAATTCGACAATATAGTGAAAATTCCCATTTTGCCAAGGACAAAAATACCCACTGTCCCCAAGAAGGTATTATTCATAAAACTACAATTCATAAATGACACCATTGAAGAAGTTCATGACTCAGAAACTAAGAAGAGCTGTACAAAAAACATTTAATGCTGCCAAATTAAATGTCATCTTCTACAACCACCCGAAAATAAGAACATCCATTAAAGACAGACTGCCAGAATTCGCCAAATCTATGTGTATCTATCGTTTCAACTGCTCCTGTGGAGCCAGTTACATAGGGCATACAATTCGACAGGTCCGTCACCGCATTACAGAACATCATCCAACATGGCTAAGCAAAGGACAGGTGAAAGTGATTAAAAGTTCTATTCTCTCTCACTTGGTTGACACAGGTCATCAAGTCGAAGTGAAAAAAGCTTTTAAGGTTATCTACAATATTCCATCAAATCTACCACATGGTTTACGAGTGCGCCTTTTGCACATTGCGGAAGCCATCGCAATCCATGTTCACAAACCTGACCTTTGCATCCAAAAGAAATTCGTACAACCACTTTCTCTACCCTGGCCTTCAGTATAAAATTTCCGTCAGAAGAACTATTTTTCATACTTCTTCCATTTTTATTTTATTTTAAAATTTTTGTAATTTTGTTTCTATCGCTTTTCAGCCTTATAACTCCTCAACATTCATCTCTTGATTCTTACATAACTACTATCCTATCGACCATCCGGTAAAATTCTATTCCTTCTTTGTCTCTTATATTACGCAACATAGCAACTTCTTGATTACTTTGAATATTAATAATCCTCTTTCTTCCGATTACTCAATGTTAATTTAAATGTCATTATGTAATTATTACATAACGTATCCACTCGATGAGTATTATATTATTATTGTAAAACATATATATATATACTAGTGTAGAGCCATGATGAAAAACTAATTGAAAAGAAATTTCTTCGCTCAATTCCTTCCTTCTTAATTCTACAATAGGCTGCAGTCAATCGTCGAGAAGTGCCCAACAAAGGACCTGACCATTCTGATGGGAGATTTCAACGCCAAGGTTGGAACGGACAACACTGGATATGAAGACATCATGGGACGACACGGACTGGGAGAAAGAAACGAAAATGGTGAGAGATTTGCAAACCTATGTGCCTTCAATAAACTGGTCATAGGCGGCACCATATTCCCACATAAACGCATACACAAAACCACATGGACTTCACCGGATCACACAACCAAAACCAAATCGACCATATTTGCATCAACAAAACGTTCAGGAGGACTATAGAGGACGTGAGAACCAAGAGAGGAGCTGATATAGCATCAGATCATCACTTGCTGGTCGCCAAGATGAAATTGAAACTCAAGAAGCACTGGACAACGGGGCGGACAATATCACAAAAGTTCAATACGGCCTTTCTTCAGGATACTAACAAACTCAACAAATTCAAGATAGTCCTCAGCAACAAGTTCCAGGCCTTTCATGATCTACTCAATGGAGAAGGAACTACTGTGGAGAGCAACTGGAAGGGGATCAAAGAGGCAATCACTTCAACATGTCATGAGGTCCTGGGTCACAAGAAGCACCATCACAAGGAATGGATCACTGTTGATACACTGGATAAGATTCAAGAAAGGAGGAACAAGAAGGCAGCAATCAATACCAGTCGAACAAGAGCAGAAAAAGCCAAGGCACAAGCTGAATACACAGAAGTAAACAAACAAGTGAAGAGGAGCATCAGAACCGACAAACGTAAATATGTGGAAGATTTAGCAACGACGGCGGAAAAGGCTGCAAGAGAAGGAAACATGAGACAACTGTATGACACGACAAAGAAACTCTCTGGAAATCGCCGCAAACCAGAACGACCAGTGAAAAGCAAGGAAGGCGAGGTAATCACCAACATTGAAGAGCAACAAAACAGGTGGGTAGAACACTTCAAAGAACTCTTGAATCGACCAGCTCCACTGAACCCACCCAACATCGAAGCAGCACCCACGGACCTCCCAATCAATGTTGGCCCACCAACAATTGAAGAAATCAGCATGGCCATCAGACAAATCAAGAGTGGCAAAGCAGCAGGACCGGACAACATCCCAGCAGAGGCACTAAAAGCAGACGTAGCGGCAACTGCAAGGATACTCCACATTCTCTTCAATAAGATTTGGGATGAGGAACAAGTACCAAAGACTGGAAAGAAGGACTTCTGATCAAAATACCGAAGAAAGGCGATCTCAGCAAGTGTGATAACTACAGGGGCATCACTCTTCTCTCAATACCGGGAAAAGTCTTCAACAGGGTATTGTTAAACAGGATGAAGGACTGCGTAGACGCCCAACTTCGTGACCAACAGGCAGGATTCCGTAAGGATAGATCGTGTACAGACCAAATCGCAACTCTACGGATCATTGTGGAACAATCAATTGAATGGAATTCATCACTCTACATCAACTTCATTGACTACGAAAAGGCATTTGATAGCGTGGACAGAACAACACTATGGAAACTTCTTCGACACTACGGCGTGCCTCAGAAGATAGTCAATATCATACAGAATTCATATGATGGATTACACTGCAAAATCGTGCATGGAGGACAGTTGACAAAGTCGTTCGAAGTGAAGACCGGTGTTAGGCAAGGTTGCTTACTCTCACCCTTTCTCTTTCTCCTGGTGATCGACTGGATCATGAAGACGTCAACGTCTGAAGGGAAGCACGGGATACAATGGACATCTAGGATGCAGTTGGACGATCTAGACTTCGCAGATGATCTGGCCCTTCTATCCCAAACGCAACAACAGATGCAGGAGAAGACGAACAGTGTGGCAGCAGCCTCAGCAGCAGTAGGTCTCAATATACACAAAGGGAAAAGCAGGATTCTCCGATACAACACAGCATGCACCAATCCAATCACAATTGACGGAGAAGATTTGGAAGATGTAAAAACCTTTACATATTTGGGCAGCATCATTGATGAACAGGGTGGATCTGATGCAGATGTGAAGGCGCGGATCGGCAAAGCAAGAGCAGCATATTTACAACTGAGGAACATCTGGAACTCAAAGCAACTGTCAACCAACACCAAGGTCAGGATTTTCAATACAAATGTCAAGACAGTTCTACTGTATGGGGCAGAAACCTGGAGAACTACGAAAGCCATCATCCAGAAAATACAGGTGTTTATTAACAGTTGTCTACGCAAAATACTTCAGATCCGTTGGCCGGACACTATTAGCAACAACGTACTGTGGGAGAGAACAAACCAGATCCCAGTGGAGGAAGAAATCAGGAAGAAGCGCTGGAAGTGGATAGGACACACATTGAGGAAAGCACCCAACTGCGTCACAAGACAAGCCCTCACATGGAATCCTGAAGGCCAAAGGAAAAGAGGAAGACCAAAGAACACATTACGCCGAGAAATGGAAATAGACATGAGAAAAATGAACAAGAATTGGATGGAACTAGAAAAGAAGGCCCAGGACAGAGTGGGTTGGAGAATGCTGGTCAGCGGCCTATGCTCCATTGGGAGTAACAGGCGTAAGTAAGTAAGTAAGCCATATAACACTACGAACGTTTACACTTACACAGAACGTGTAGCACAAATCTGAGTGCATGAAAATGTAATTGATCGCCAGATTCTAATTATCTATTATTACATAAATTCAGTAAACTACAGTCATTTTGCAAAATAAGAATAAGATTTTAGTTACAATAATGTGATTTATTTGTACTTTTTTTCTGTGATTGAACACATCTCAGTGATTTTAATCTTGTCGACTATAAGACAAAATAAAAAATCAGTCAATTAACTATAAAATTTGATTTGAACAAGTTGGCAAAGCCACATGAACATAACACTTACATGAATTAGGGTTCACTGTAAATCAATATGTAAAGACGTTGATCACTGCTGTAATATTCTATGCAGTAACAAATAGGTTTTATAAAGTTTTTTTCAGGATGTAGAGATAACAAATTTTCGAAAATTCTCAGGTAACGAGAATAATAGAAAATTGAATCATCCTGCAGTGGAACAGATGCCATACATATATCTAATATTTTCAAAAGAATTCTTTCTTGATAAACTTCTAGACCATTAACCCGACATATATATGATCCTATAAAAACACGGTACTTTTAACCTGAATCGATAAATCTCAGAAATGATGTATACAAAACACTATCAATATATATCATCATCACTTACCTCTTCCAAACCACCATGTTCACGGGCGAAATTGTAAACAAACGTTCGTTCGCTTGGTATATTCATAGCATCTTCACGTCCAATAGCACGCAGTATGTTGCGCATGATTGCGCTTTCTTGTGAAGATATATCAAATGTCTTGGCTTCTCTGTCATAACCAACATGTTCAATATGACGAAAATTTGAAGGATTACTGATATCTTTTGATGTAAGCTTCTGCTATATAAAAATATATACATGTACATGAATGAGAACTATAATAATAACAATTACTAATCAAGCAAAAATAAACAATTGTACATTGCATATTCTTCAAATAGTTTTAAAGAAATTATAAGCAAACGAATAAATAACAAATAATGGTCAATCATTTCACATCCCCTATTGACTAATAAGTCAGTAAGGTTGAGCGTTTAGTTTTGATTTACTGGGCTGAATTGAAAACAGAGTAATGGTAAAATTTTTTGGTGTTTAAAACAATACATCCAGAGCTTGAGTTTTAACGGATAAATACAACATATAATGACGCGTTGCATCCAATTTATTGTTCGACGATGATGCGTAGTGTCGCAATTTAGTCTGTACACGACCGATCCTTACGGAATCCAGCTCGTTGGTCTCGAAATTGGGCGTCTACTGCGTCTTTCATCCGGTTCAGCAACACTCTGTTGAAAACTTTTCCTGGTACTGACAGGTGTTGACAGTAGTGTGATGCTTCTGTAGTTCTGACATTTGCTCGGACCTCCTTTCTTTGGTATCTTGAGGTGTCCTTCTTTCCAGTCCATCGGCACTTGTTTTTCCTCCAAATCTTCTTGAATAGAGTGTGAAGCGTGTTTGCAGTTACTTCAATGTCTGACTTCAGTGCTTCAGCTGGTATATTGTTAAGTCCTGCTGCTTCCCCACTCTTGATTCGTCTGATGGACATCCTGATTTCTTCGATCTTTATTGGAGTGACATCCATAGGAAGGTCTCTGTGTGTTGCTTCGATGTCCGGTGGATTCAATGGAGCTGGTCAATTCAAGATTTCCTCAAAATGTTCTACCCATCTGTTCTTCTGTTCTTGAATCTCCGTGATTGGCTTTCCTTCTTTTTCCTTTACTGGTCTCTCTAGTTTACCATATCTGCCTGCTAGTTTCTTCGTTGTATCATATATATTTGATAAACTGTTAATAACTATGAAATCGCACCATAATTTAATTGGATCGTCATGCACCCCATTTCTAACCCAGTTCCATTTAAGACAGTATAACGATGTTATAAGCTGTTGAATGACTTTAAACAATTATCAAAATTTACTGTTTCAATCAATTACCTGATTTTGTCCTTTCATATACACTTTTTTATGCCAACAGAACTAATTGATGATTGATTAATGTCAAATTAAGCATTGAAATACTGATTTTAGCGAATAACTAATTTCTTGTAAAGAGTACCAAGCTGTTTTATACTACTTATGTCAGATGATTGAATTTTTGCTTATTATCGCTATTAATTTAATTGTTCTATGCTATAAGTGATTCACTAGAGAACAATAACTACTTATCAAAATTTCGAATGACATTCCTCTTAAGAATGTGACTTTTCTTACATACACAAACGTATATATGCAAAGAACTGTTTGTATTATATAAATAAAGTATATATTCTTTTTTACTCATAGAAATGTTCTTTTCACAAAAATCAAGTTATACCCCAAGCAATAAAATTATTCAAATAATAATTCTAAGAATGCGATGACTCAGTAAATTTAAGAAGCAAGCAAGTAGTCAATTATTAGTGTAATATCATGTTATAGGTTATTGTTTAACTGATTTACAACGAATGTCAGAATTTTAAGTTTAAGCAAATCTACTCAAACCTATGCATAGATTGAAGACATTTAAGCTGAACGAAGTCATAAATGAGAATATGCTTCTATACAGAACAAAATTTATAATGACACAAGACAAAAATACATCAATGTGAGTGAATTAGTCTGGTGGATTAGAACTTCCAAATCCCAATGTCCTATATTTACTTATATTTAAGCACATGAATATTAGTACAGAGGGGTATCAAAATGCGTATGAACCAAGCTTCATTCTATTTGTGTGAAGGATGATTTACTACCTAGTCGCCCAAACCGAAGCAGATGGTTTTCTTAGAGGGCCACACCTGCAGTCTTTGACCTAGAAGTCTAATCCACAAGGCAGAGGAACAACGTAATCAGATGCAGTACCGTATTAACCGGTAACCAACAATAGACTCATACGCCATTTGTTTCCATAGGATCCTGGAGCCCATGTGCATCATTGGTTGGGAAACAGGGTTTTCCAACTCCTCTAGGTGGATCCCTCGTACCCATCAAACCGGTTAGGACGCCGGACATTCGCTTTTCGTGCTCTCAATTTCGTAAACAACACCCCCGCAACGAGAAGGCAGTGAGTAGGACTTCCCTGATAGTGGTTGCATACGCGCGACCATGTGAGAGTATTTCGAGATGGAGAGAAAACTCTCCCCACCCTCGACCGTACCAGGGCATTTGATACTATTCATACATCGTTATCAATTTAAGCAAAATTCAATTCCACTTGTAACTAAATTAGAAAACTTTATATGCATTGGATTTTTTATTATTACATATGATCTATGATGTGATAGAAAAAAATAAGTTCTATAACTAATATGCTAATTTTTACAAGTTTTCAGCTTTGCTTTGCCTAGCAAAAACTAAGAGTTAAAAGTTGTAAGGTCAGAATATTGTGAAAGTGAACTGCCACGGCATATTCGACTTGAAATGATTGTGTTTATTCTAGGAATTATGTGTTGCTAAATCAAATACACTTTTATACGCAGTACTATACAGATCCAACTAATAGTTGAACCTGATTAACTGTGGTTCACTGATTAAAATAGACTTTATATTACTGAATTATGGCTCAACTGACCCTACTTTCATTTAAACAATTAGATAATATTTCTAACTTACATCTAAAAAAGAAATAAGATCCTAATCAACTTGAATACAGACACCACTATTCAGTAGTTCGACACTATCGGAAATAAAACAACCATCTAACGAAAGATAAATGAATACCGAAAACATTTGCACACAATTTCAGACTGACATTTTTCATGTATGAATGATTGTCAACACAGATCGACAGGTTGGAGCTATTTTAGAAATGAATGCTTCAATAAATCCTACACAGAAATTTGACTTAAAAACTGAAAGTAAATAAGAGAATTACCTATAAATTTCAAAATGGAAAAGAACTACAGCAACTAATGAAAACTCACGTTACCTTTTGAAAGTATATTAGGATATTTGATTATTTTAAAGCCAATAAGAAAGATAAAACTAACCATAGATTGATTGCTGAGATTTGATGGTCTATCTATATGAACTATATTCAGTTAAGTGTGAGAGAAAAATTATAGACAGGCTACAAAATTAGACACTCATTGATTCAACAAAGTACATCAGAATCTCAAAAGGAAGCCATAACTAACAAATGACTCAATGAATTTGTCGATGATAATTTAAATTCAACTAATATTCCAATAGAGCTCGCTCTGAAACGTGAAGTTGAAGATTTGATACACGCGACTAAACTATATAAGTTGCACAATTGAGGACAGATTTAATTTAATGATAACAGGAAGTATAGAGTTGATAAGCCTAATTAACTAATGATCAGTAATATATGGTATAAAGATTTGATGAACTACAGTATCTGAACATACACGAAGCAGACAACTGTTATCTGATTGTACACATTGATGGGACTGATTAGTAACTATCTTATATGTGACTATCTATCAAACATATCTGGGAAATACAAATGTTTCTTTTTAACACAAACTTGGCGACAATGTAGGCTTAAAAAATATTCGATTGCACTTACGTCCAAAAGATGGTCCAATAAACCAAGTTAACAACTTGGATGGTAATAAAATTAAAGATGTCAAAAATATTCTAAAAGTATTTTACATTGACGGCGATTATGGATTAGATCAGACTGTATAAGTTTAATAGCAAGATATAAAACAGTAGTGTAGTGCGAACAGACAGTATGTAGCAGGAATTGGAAGTGAAACGCTTACCAGTAAAAGATTGAGATTAAGAAAAGAGGGAGGAAAACAGAGAGCAATTGGAATAACAACAGGATTTGAAGAAGGATGTAACATGTAAAGGATAACTTAAGAAAGATATGCGAATGATGCATTTGATTTATGGTTTTTCATATTTTGCAAAGGCAGTGTTTGATTTTGTATAAAACAATAAATTGGTTTATCGTACCTAAGTTTTTGTTCACTACAATAGGACTTGGATAATTTAGTATTTTTCTCTTAAAAAAATAGTTGAAATATTATTAAACTTAATTAAGCTTAATACGTTAGTACATTTCACAAAACAAATAAGTGTGGTTGCATATAATTGCCAATAAATTAATAAAACTAAGAAATACATAGATTGCATAATCATTAAAAGTGATAAAATACACTAGTCATTCTTATATTATAGTGTTTCATTAAAAAACTAATTATAGAAACAGTCCTTTTGTAATTAACAAAAACATAGGTGGGGACAACCAAGTGTATTTTAACGCAAAATTACAGAGTTATTTGGTAAAATGTGAAAACCACACGTTCAATCCTTCATTTGCAAAATGTCCATTAATTATATCAGACTTTCTTGTTCCTTCATTTTCATACCAATTACTCTCCGTCCCCTTTCTCTTCTATTCGATCTTCCCAACCTTCTGCTCCCAAGCCTTTCACTTTTGATTGGTGTTACATACTACTTATGTCTATCAGCATAAGTAGCATACACCACACTTTAAATATCTTTTTTAATTACCAATCATCACAAAAATAACTTCTATTCATAGAAATTCAATTGAAATCCCGATTTAACTTATAATAATTTAAAATAATACAGATTCATGATAAAACGTTTTTGACAAATGTGAATCGATGCATTAAGATAACTGACTTGCAACCATTGAGTAGTCGATTGAAGCTAAGTTATATTTAGTATTATTTTGTAAAATTCGATAATATATCTGGTACTTGGATGAATAAATATAATTCAAAAATCTGCACATCAACGTTAAGTCAAAATCTCCATACAAAATTCAATTTCAAGTTGGGTTTATTTTTACAAATGACTAAGTATCTCATGTACTAAGATAGTAACAAGTGTAAAAAAAATTAGTAAAACAAGAATTATTCCGCTGGTAATGATGATCAACAATGAGATGGTAATAATTGTGATATTGTAAACAACCCATAAAATACTATTAAATATTTATCTTGGTACGAATTTCGATTCTCCCAATTCTGTTATTATCCCAACTGTTCTCTGGTTCCCTTCATGTTCTTTTCAATCCAATCTCCTGCTGGCAGGCATTCCACTCCCGATTGCTGCTACAATTACTTATACCTGTTAGCATTAGCAGTGTACACCACATTCTGTCGCTAAGATTCGAACCTCGATCAGTGCAGTATACACCACAATACGACTAAGTGCTCATAATCTTTTCGAGGGATAATATATTAACTGAATCCATTTAGGGATGGTTTCAAGACTAAAGTTGAAAGCAAACAGCGGACACTTTACTGATAAAGCAAATTCGCGTATTCGAAGTCAATCTAGCGGAGTTGATAAACCATTGGTACATAAAGACTACAGAATACTACATAAACAGACTGGATGTGAACACAATTCAATCACCTGTTACAGTGAGAATTTATATGCCGATGTTGACCGACTGCCAAGTGGATAAGACCTTTGAAGTAAAGATTGATAGAGTTCCTACGAGAAAACCACCTGTGTTGATTGCGTGCTTAGGGGACATTAGATTTTTCTGATATATCGAAGAGAATATCGACAAATTAATGACTTTGGAACTGTTTTACGGATTGATAATACATTTTTTATTGTATAATTATTAAATATCTGGATTATTACATTACTAAATTCCCTTTATTTTACGCTTAAGTTGAATTTATCGACTATCAAGATAAGTTTGACCATTCCTCAATTTCGATAATGCAATGAGAAGACGAAGGTTATTAGAATTGTGTGATATATTTTCGCAATACATTTCGAACAATACATCCTCCATTGTATTGTCTGTTCATAAAAAGGAGACACTTTCTCTTGGTTTTAATTTTTCTGTCCCTACAACACAAATCTCTGAATTGACAATCAATGCCCAATTCGAAAACCTCTATGATCAATTGAGTACTTTAGTTCCTTCATTCTTGGAGAAGCAAAATTGGTTTGAAGCTAAACTAGTGGGTATAGCGCATCAGTTTCATTCTTCTGGATCAAAGCAGAGAAATGTATTAACTTCTCAGCACTTCAAATCATTAAAAGAATTGAGAAATAATGCCGATATTATTATAGTTAAGCCCGATAAAGAATCTGGTGTTGTTATTATGAATAAGTCTGATTACAAAAATAAAATGGAATCTATTCTCAGTCATAAAAGCAATTTTATGGCTGATGTTGACTCCGATGGATCACGTAAATTAGGAAAGTAAACTCGAATCTAATGAAATTGTTAAACATGAATGCTATTAACAAGGATGAGTTTAATTTGTTGGAACCTATGAGTTCGGTGTATCCTAATTTATATGGATTACCGAAAATTCATAATCCTAAAACCCCCTTACGACCAATTCTATCAAAGTGTCGGTCACTTACACACAACCTTGCAAAATGGCTTACAAAAGTATTAAACCCTATCCAAAATCAATTTTGTAAGTATTCCTTGATTGACTCATTTGGACTAATTAAGTACTTAAAGGACATGAATATAAAAACTATTGATATTTTATGTGACTATATCTCACTGAATAACCTTGCATTACCATTTCCTGTTAAAAGTCTTAAAGATTTATTATTATTGTGTACTGACAATGTAGAATTCACTTTTGAGGATGAGTACTTTCGACAAATCGATGGCATAGTTATGGGTAGCCCTTTAAGACCCCGAGACGTTTGGTTGAAACAGGTTATAAGGTTGATATCAAGTCGGCGTTTGTAGTGTTGTACAAAAGCTTTCAAGGACGTATACTGAAGTTTATTGAAGCCATGACTATACGGAAACTGAAACCCCCTTTGTGTTCAAAAACAATTTGTTCTTAACCTACCCTGGTACTACTGATTTATTATCCAGAGTGGTTATCACATTGTTTTTGTGTACTTTATTATTATTTTGTTCTTTGTTACAGCTTACCTTTAACCTGTCTAGCTGACCTTTGAATTTTTACATAAAATGTCTTAACAAGTATATGTGTGATCAGATTGCTCGAAATATATTGCGCAAATATATCACATAATTTTGATAACCTTCGTCTTCTCATTGCATTATCGAAATTTATAAGAGACTAATTGTTTTAAATTTCACATTCCTTAATTATTGATTATTAAATATTCACCTTTCGCCCCATTCCCTATCACTTATGGCTTGATGGGGTACAAAGTACGACTCCCTACTTGGTGTTGAGATCTGATATATATATATATATATATATATATATATATATATATATATATATATATATATATATATATATATATATATATATAATCCTTAATAAAGGAATTCAAGTCTGTAGTAAAATTAAGGTGTCTTTATCTGATAATGTTGAAAATAAAGAGCCAAGTAAAAAAATTCCAAGTTGCCTCTGTTAATGCTCAATAGCAACTTTAATAAATGCGTATGAATACTATTTTTATGGTTAAATTAGCTACAGCAGGTGACTACTCAACTGAGTATACACTATTAGTAAGTGAATGAAGTAAAATTCACACAAAAAATTCCAACGACAATTACGAAATTTCCTAGCTATTAAGATAGGAGGCTGAAAATAAAACATGTTATAACGAAAGTCGGTCATCAATTAAGTACTAACACAAATTAATTGCTAACAAAAGTATTGAATATTTGACATAATCGTTATCTTCACTTGAATGTATTTTAATATTCAAAAGCTATTTAAGAATAATATTAGGAGTTAGTCAGCAGCATGGAAACAAAAAACAAGCCATAGAAATACAGGATAATAAACAGGGACATACAATGAATGATGAATCATACAAGATGTGAACTCACCGAGTTACTTTCAAGAGAAAATAGGTTGGTTAGTATCTAAAATTTATTGGCAGAGTACAACGCAAATATCAAAAGTGAAAACACATCTGAGTAAGATATGTAAATACGAGTTACAATTATCAATAAAGCTTTTCCTGAAAATATAGATGATATTCAAGTTAATTAGACTGATTCATCACAAACAAACCGTTAAAATATTCAGGGAGACAAGAGAGTTAATCAACTATAAAAAAAATCCTAATTAATACTACTCTGTCATTACTACTAGTAACCAATTCCGTGTGGTTCGGCATCGAACAAGATTAAAAGAGAACATAAACATAAAAATAATACATATGTAATATCCCAGTCGGCGGAAAGACTACATTTTTTGACGTTTTGTGACTCAGTGTAGGCCACTTCTTCAGAGAACAAATAAACAAATTAAATTAACCCAAGTTTACATAGTAGTTAGATTATGTTAGGTTAATGATACGTAGTTTACTGATAGAAATAACAATAATGATCATGATCGGATAGTAAAAGGAAGTCAAAAATTCAATTTCCATTTAAAAATGCACCAAAAATGTATTGACCTTAAGTCAAATAAAAACCAGTTTGTCATAAATTTGTAGAACCTACCCCTAAATTGAATACAGAACGAGTTAAATGACAAACGCTAGCAAACAACTAATCCGAAAAGTCTAAAATTTGGTAACAAACACATGTAGACCAGCTATACACATAAACAGCATACCTTTTTCCTTTAGATTTTGTTTTGCCCCTTATAGACGTAACTCCTTGATCAGACAATTTTGTCGGATTTAAACTATAGATGCCAGCTTGCACGATTGGTTGAGAACCAACAGTATGTAGATTCGATGAAGGCTTCTCAATAGCAGCTGCACGCATAGATCTTAAACGACCATTTACTGTATGTGCAAAATGTTTAGCCTCCTCAAGAGATGCGAAAGCAAGTCCAACTGGCCCATCATCTGACTGCAATACGTGAAAGCATTTTAGTTCCTCAGTATAATCCATTTCCAAAAATAATCTTTGCTCTAAGAGAGGAATTCTCCTCTATAAATATAGTTTGTATTGGAAAAGAAGAAATGAGAGTTGACTTACAATCACATCGTATATTCTGATGAAATAATCCTTATAATTTTTGTCCTTGATACAACATACAACGCCACAACCTTTAAGCACCCAATTCGATTCATTTTCACCTTTGAAATAGCGTACCACAGCGGAAGCTAATGAATCGCAACCAGTTCCAAACAATGAATATAATACAGAATTCTCCTCGTTAGTTAGTAGAACCGAAGTTCCACCTACTGGAGCGGACTATCAAAGGTCAAAAGCAAATGTGTAGAATCAGAAAACGCGAAAACTGTATCTGAGTACGCCTTTTAAAGGGGAGTAAAACGAGAACGTCCCAGCCAAACAAAGAAATAGACAGGTTATGGTTCATAACAATACTTCCACAAGTAAAGCATCAGAAAAATGATTCTGCAGTACAGTTTTTTTTCGTCAAAATCCATGGTGACAGTATACTACTAACGATCAAGATTGCCGTTAACGTGATACGGAGTGGACTAAAGAATATTCCGTGCAGGATTGTGTTTGGGTATGTTGATTGGCCATTTCTTAATCAATCAGTCCAAACGGATACTTGGAGAAGACTCTAGAATCCTCTTGTGTAAAATTCTAGTTATACTAACGTTCGTCTTATAATTCCTACTGACATTCAGCCTTGTTTGGTTCGGATATAATTACGTTCCTGTTCAGCTGGGTCGTAATGAGAGAACATAAAAATCACCCAAGGTAACTTACGGATCGAGGACACTTCCTTAGCCCGTTTTATACATCTTACAGATATTGGACTATGAGACCGATGCACAAATGGATATAGTGATTTTAAGTGTACGAAGTCCTTACTCCTCAATAACAAATATGATGAGTCGTTAAGTGCCTAAAATGAAATTAAAATGGATGCCGCTAAATATGAGCTGAAGCGATCAAAAGCACCAGTGTTATTCACTCACTTCCAGAAAAGAAGCCATGTGTGAGGTTAGTTTTTACACAAAAGTTGATTATACCAGTTATTTGGTAGATGAGTCAAAAACAATACAACATACTGATCTACAATTTTAAACCTTTCAAAACATCCAAGACTTTTTACAATTAAAATTTGGTAAAGTTTGCTAATATAACGAGTAACTTTTCTACAAAAAGATCCAAAATAAACATGGTATTTTAGAAGTCTACTCAATTTTATGACTGAGTGCACATGGTAAGCACAGATCTTTATTGACATGACGGAGAGTAGTGAAATTCAACCTGTATATAAATGTCGTTTTACAAAATTTACGCAAAAACAAAAGATAATAGACAAAAACACTAAGCAAAGTTGTATAACTAGGAACACATGTTAGAAGTACATTAGGGTAAGCAATGAAAACTCCAGCAAATCAAGTTAGGGTTTGAGGCGAAATGAACAACCAGTAACCTCGGTTATAATAAGTCTGAGAAGCAGTAAATCCATAAACACAGGTTTTATAATAATGACAGTTCACAAACAGATGATAAAGTAAAACAAGCGTACTGTGTAGAAATTACGTAAATATTTACGCTTGGATGAGTAATCGCCAGACTGACACGGTTGAACTTGCAAGTAATAGGATGGAAATATTTACTGAAGGCACCTTGTGTTATATTCAATAAATATTTAAGTTATGAGAGTCACCAACCGATTTCGCATATTCTGTAGCACATTTTATCGTCTACGAATTGCAAGTCTTCAGAGCTGTAACTACTAGTGGCTTCTGATTGGTGAGACTTGCTACTACACCCAGTGACATATATACTGAAGCCACTTTAAATCAGGAATATCAAAACAACAAGAAACTTGAGGCATATCAAATCGATTTTGTGCATTGGTAGAGAAGTAAGTGAGTAGAGTACGATGTAAACGTACTCGCTTAAGTTTAGTACATACTCAAAAAAAACTTGAAAACTGGCCTGTGATAACAATATTGGCCATTGGGATTCAACAAGTGGACACTAAGTACTTAGTCAACACAACAGTACAGTACGAAGAAAACCAACTCAGTGACCTGACTGAAATTGTAGTATGCACAAAAAGAGGTTAGCGTTGAGTTCTGGTCGATTGTTTAATTTGAAACACTTTGTTTAGGTATTTTCTAAACAAAATAATCTTAGAACAATTGATGACACAGTACAGACCGTCAGAGGGTTACGGTATGCTTGTCCGAATATAGAAAGATATGGGGCCAGTGAAATTACTGCCAACGTCTTCAGGTCATCTAGGATTCCAGGTTTACCCTTTGCCCAAGAAACGAAGGAAGAGTGTACTGTCATGGCGGTAAGCTTAATAAAATTTAGATTAGATTTTTTTAGAGACTCAAACAAATATATATCCGGCGATCGCTGGATCTATTATGGTCATTAAACCGTGACTGAAACATGTATGGACACATATATATCTCCGAATTATATACATGTGCACTAACGTTATACGATACTGAATGACTGGGAAACAAGCATTTGCAATTTGGCTCAAACCTCTCCAGCCTGAGGGTACTAACAATCGATAAGCACCATGCTAAATATAAACCATAGTGACAGACTACAAACCCTGAGTGAAACCAGCTTTGTTCACATCAAGAATGATAATGGGAGCATCAGAGGATTAGAATAGTGTAAGTGAACTCATTTATAATTTCACCTAAATCTTAAATTATCTGTGCTAAAACCCCACCAGATACAACCAGCGCAACGACTTTAGAGACTTTAGAGACCAGTAAATCATAAGAACTAGAAATTAGTACAAACAGTATAAAGTAAAGTAAATCCTACAAAGACATAAGAAAGGAGCATACCGTCCGCATTTCTTTGAAAGCGCGCTTTACCGTGTCGTAGCACTCATACTTTTACTTCACCTGTTGAATAAATTCCACGCATTAACACAATGTACCCTGGTTCAGTTAATGTAAATTTATTAAAAAGATCACAAAAAGTAAAGAATGCTTAAATACTTTGGTTTAGGGACATCTAAGACCACTTATAATCAATGTGCTCGAAACATGCTGAAGTTAACCGTTTGATTATTTTGCGACCATCTCTTAGTGTTAAGGCACTGTTCCGGCTCTTTGGTGCCGTCCAATGTTTGTGGTCCAGCCTCTCATTCGGCGTAATAATAATAAGTAGTGATGCTGATCATCCTGATCTCCAAATTGATTCAGACTAGTCAGATAATTTTGATGTCTTGTGCAGATAATTAGTTCCAGAAAGAGTTTACTAGTGCACATCAGTCATGGTAGTAACCACCAACACACACATAATGGAAAAACACATCCATATTTGCAAAAACAAAAATGCGTTGAAGTAACTGTAATCCAAAACCTGAAAACAACCGACCACAGAAGCTTAGTAACAGTTAAAAAATTTCGTGTTTTATGGCACTTTTAAAGAGACCTCTAATGCTTTGACGATTTTGTGCATCGTACTTTACTCACTAACTATGTGAGACCACTAAAACAAATCTGCAGCAAAGTATTCAGTCCATGCCTCAATAACGATGTTGAAAACGTGAGCATGTTGGACCAGTGATTACAAAATTAGTGACAAGGCTTTGAAACATCTAACAAACGTCATCAGCATCTAAACATTATTTGACTGAACAGACCTCGGTGCTGAAAGTTCTTATGATCTCTAGAATTCAGCCGGTAGATGCAGCCAGTTTGTCTACAACGTCGTTTTGATGTTGAGGCAAGCACTACCTGCACCTGTTGTGGTATTTCAGACAAGGAGATCTGTCTAAACAGGCCTATGCCAAAGATTCGTTGACCAATGAACTCAAGCATCCGTAACAACGTGTCCGCTGCTGAGCCACATTGAAGAGCTGATCTAACTGTTGTCGGTCGGTTAGATTCTCACGCTTAAAAATAGCTTTTCCAGTTACGTAAAGTTCCGAGACATCGCTAGTAAACATACCAGGTATGACATACCTGCTAAAATCGTGAGGCAGCGCCTTCACTACTGCGAGGAAATGTACACGTGTTATGTCATGCCGTGTTCGTGGAAGTTAGCTTCTGAGTTGCAGAACCAAGCTTCGATGTTGTCGGTCAAAAATGGCACTAGCTGAAAGAGAGTGGCGAAAGGGTCTTGATATTAAATACCTTAGGATCTGTTCGGTCACTGTAAGATCCATTTTGAATGTTTTGTGTGTGTGTGTGAAAATCCCTCCATGTATATACTTGCACTTTGTTCCTATTGATTCCCTTAGTTGTACATTTTGTTTGTCGTTTTGATTCCATTTGAGTCGGAAATATTTGTATTCTATTATGGTTTTTATTTTTCTTACGCATTCACTAAGTTTCCATGTTTCTTCCTTAACTGCATTTATGTTGTTTCACTTGACACCTAGTCTTGGCGGCAGCCATATTGGTTTGTTCCTCCTTTCGATTGTGTTGCTTGTATTGACCGGAATTGTGCATTTTGATTGTAAGTTGAGGCACTCTTCCAGAATTGGAAATACTCTGTGTTATAAAGCAACCAAGCATTATCTTAAGAACGAATCTGTGCGTGATCTATCCAGACAGGATAGAACAACATTTATTTGTTACGATTGGTAATATTCTTGCACCCTTTATCAACTTCCTTATTTATTGTGATTTAGATTTGGTTAGTTGAGCAATTATTGGTTGAATAGCTGGGTGACCACATTTGTCTAGGTAACAATGTACATTTAAGTTTATGATGAATTTCAGAACCGTCATTTTACCCAATCACTTTGTTTTGGATTTAACCGGGCAAGGACGCGTATCTAACCCACCTAGAGAGCTATTCCTCAGTTCAAAACATATTCTGGATCTTACGGTTATGATGAACTTAATATGTATCAGTGAACAAGAAAAAATATCCGACAATTCTAAAAAGTATCATATTATGTAAAAAAAAATAAACTAAAAAATTGATATGAAGCTCCATGGAGGAACAGACTCACAGTTTACTAATTGGTGTACCAGAATACGTCGGGCTCACCACTAAAAGTGTCACAAGTAATCGGAGTTTGACAACGCCTTAATCCGTAACACCTATAATCGAAATATGCCGACCTAGTGAAATCAAAAGTCAGAAGCGAAGAGGTTCGAGGATATATTTAATAAATTTGATCAATCTAAGCTGGCCAGCTGTTGTGAGGGATGTGTAGCACGGCATGCTCACTCGTGATCTAGTTTGGAGGCTTGACTGAATGCCTTCAGTTAGGTGTGTTCATTCAAACTAACGAGGTCAGCATCAAATGTCGAAGAATTGCAGAGCTATTTATTTTGGGGACGTATTAACCGCCACATCGTCATCGTGGGATAGCATTTTTCTCGTCGGATAGTCGTCGAATGTTGGAACATGATATACTAGGTATACCATTTCAAATGTATGTGGATAAAACTGGACCTCTATAGTACCATTTATCATGGGTTTTGAACAAGTCATGTTTATAACTGAGGACTGTACTTTGAGACTGCTGATGGTGTGTGGGATTTCGCAATTGTATAGCCATTCAATTAATTTGTGTCTTGCCTTGAGATTCCTGTTTATATGATTGATTAATAAAACGCGCAAAATATTGTTTTAAATATCGTCATTATTATATGATCAAATTGTTTTCCATCCGACTGGCTGCGCTACTCTACACTTTGTACGTCGCTCCAAGATTCACGTGGCTTGGAGTTATTTTCGGGATGGGGACGTGTATTGTAATGTGAGACTGAAAGTGTAGACATGGTTTTCATGTTTGTCACGAATTTATAAGACGACAATTTGAACCGTTATGTGTCATCTCTAGGACGAATTTTTGCCATTCAACTTCGATCTCTATAAAATATATGTTTTCTATCATTCATTGCGTATTTAGGGTACTACCACACACTGTATAATAACAAAATACTACTCTTTCGCTATATCCGGTCCTTCTAAGCTTATATTGGTATCCATACTTACATATGAAAACGATCCAACTGCAACGTACATTTAACGTTTCTCTATTCAACTTACACTTTTTTTAACAATCCGTGAACGTTAACAGAAAATATTGAAAAGTGATTACCAAAATAACTTTCTAAAGAAGACTGATCTATTTTTCTGTTTCATCATCCGATGTCAATTTGCGATTCTACAGAGTGTATCCAACTGCGATTACAACGTCAAACAACACGAATATTGACAGATTGGGTAGATATGTAGTTTTGGACTATCGAATCATAGAAGCAAAGAGAATAACAAATAGCTTTTCTTCTGTGTTGGTTCATGCCATTATGGATGTCAATGAAAACATTCAATAAGTGCACTAAAAAGCCTGTCTGTAACGCTAATACGACTTACCGAAACAACCGACTTTTCAAAACACCAGTTTCAAAACAGTTACGTTAAAACATCCGCGAAAATGCGTTTAAGGCCCCCCAATTTATCCACACCTAAGATTTTCGTAAAACAAACACAAGATCTAATTGAAATTCACTTTTTTCATCTGACGACAGCATTAAGTCTAAGTTAGCATGTTAAAAGTTATCTAAGTACAATAGCGGATTAAACATAAATTGGAAACATGAGTCCAAGTGGTGAGCGTAGAAGAATAACCTCAGTATCATTGTTGGATTTCCTCGTCCTTAATCATAAGGAGCCTGAAACAGCAAAATGTTCTGTCCCATAAACACTGGTGTGTTGAGGTCATGGCCCTCACCACCAACGCTTGCTGAGCAGTGATTCCACTCCCCATCATTTTGTTATTTTAGACTCATTACCTTTTCTTTTAGGTAAAATATTACATCTCATACGTTGCTCTATGTTTCACGTCCTGTTAAAAAACACTATTTTTATAAACACCATCCTACAAGCCTAACAGGTAGTCACAAATTCTGGACTGAAGTAGGGCATCGGTGCAATGCTCTAAAGGACTATAATATATAGAACGGATGTCAAATTAATTGGCCTATAGTTAATAATATCACTACGTGGTCCTGTTTTGAATCTAGGGGTGATAAGGGATGTTTTCCATACAGATGGATAGGTCCCATATTCCATAGATAGATTGAAAAGTTTCAAACAAAATAGTGGAAATTCTCTACTTCCATATTTCACAAATGATGAAGGTATCCCGTCAGGTCCACCATCATAAGACTTTTTCAGGGCACCTATGGCCTGCTTGATGTTGGAGGGTGTAAAATCAATTTTCGACAGATGTCTGGATGTCAGCATTGGAAATGTAATGATGGAGTTTCCAGTTCCAGTTTTGTAGCACTGCGAGAAGTGCTTGCTGAATTGTTCGCATATAGTATTCGGGTCGTTAACAATGCTTCCGTTAACTATGAAGAATTTAGTCGTGCCAAGGGAATTTGACTTTACACGGGATTTTAAAAAGCCGAAGTATTGATAATTCTGGGCTTTTACTACGTAGAGCTTTATTTTCTATATTCATAAAATACTTACGTTTAGATGAAGCATTTCTGTTGATTAATTTAAGTACACTCTGAAGTGCATACACATCATTCTGCTCGTAGTAGCGGCATTTTAATTTTTTCAGCTTTCTTTTAAAAGTATTTTGGCCCCTATTAGCATTATAAGCCGCACGGCCAATAACTGGAGCAGTGCAGTCAAGACCATATATCAGGTTGTGGTATAGATTGGAAAGCGCAATGTCAACATTATTTGTGGTAAAATAAGTTTCCCATGGTAAACATTGAATGAGAGTTCCAGTCCGTTTCCACGTTTGTTGATCGAATTATCTGCTTTGGTACATCAATGAAGCTTTAGAGTTCAACTGTATGGCGTTTAAAGAGTGAATAATACTCAATACAACTCTATGGTCACTCATAAAAAATTCATGACTGGT